ACACAATACAATACAACACTAGCTGACGTTTCGGCAGTATCGCCTTCTTCAGAGCCACTTTTTCGTGACTTCCAATGAGGAACTTTAGAACAGCTGATTATGATGTAGGATGGTGCAGTCATCAACCATATGCGACTATAATCAGCTGTTCTAAACTTCCTCATTGGAAGTCACGTAAAAAGCGGCTCTGAAGAAGGCGATACTGCCGAAACGTCAGCTAGTGTTGTATTGTATTGTGTTTCTCTATAGTAAATGTATGCTGTTTAAAAACCTCGCGAGTGCTGAACAAGAAAACGACGCATTCATATTCCAATGCCGAGGTTAATAGAAAGTTGGTCCTAGAAATGATAGATTATTAAGAAAAGATCGCTATAAAAGCGTGACACAAGTTGTGTGATAATGCGCCGTTGGTACAACCTTGGCTTACTTTGAGCCACCTTGCTAGCCCACTTTGCTTCGTTTGTAACGTCCGTCTTATATCTAAGGGTGTTAACTGTCGCGCTCGTAACTGGAACACAATGTGACGGCCAGATGATCAGATAAACCCGAAGTACCAGTCGGGGTCAACGTATGACGTGAAAGCCATTGTGGTACAATTATACATTGCACTTGGATCGGACCACTGAACATAGTGGATCGATGATACCTAGCCGAAAATCACCATCAAGACTACTATTGTGCAGAAAATGTCACTCATCACGCAAACTAGAAAGCGTGGTATTCATAACTTATACGAATAACAATGACAATGAAATTTTGTTGTACAACATTCTGTTCAGCGTGAGAGTTCACACACAAGACTGGACGACCTTCTCGAGTTCTGCTTAGTTTCCGTCAATTCGACCTTCATTAAATGAAACATTTCATCAATATGGTTTTAAAACAAATTTTCCATTGAGAAGTAAAAAACAGCACTACTCCACAGTATATCGATAACATTTTTGTTGGAAGCCTTCAAATAATGGAACCAGTTTCCTAATTTAGATTATCATACGTGTCCAAAAACATGTGAAAATAGGATCTGAAATATGAAGCTCATAGTTCTTTTCAACGCTTTGTTTCTTTACGATAAGAAACTTTCAAAATGATATCCATTGAACTTTCTCTTTTCAAACAGATCGATCTCACTGAGTCTGCGCATAACTGGCCACGAGCAGTATACGATTTTTCGAGCACTTAATGATCAGAAACAATTCATTACTACATACCAAAACACTGAATATGCAACGGTTCAATGAACAAATACACACTGGAGTGGAGCAAAACCGTATTTTACATTTCAGTACAGCCCGCAGTTAGAATCACATAAGATAGCAATGGATGTTTCGGAGACTAATAATTCATGCAAACTGACTGCATAAAGTGCAGAACCCAACAAAAAACACAAATGCTGCATACAGATTGAGGTATAGAAGTCAAAGAAAGCTGGCTAATTAAATGGTAAGAGCTAAGAAATCAACACTCACTCTGCACTTCGCAGCAATGACAAACTATTGGACATAAGCACTTGGTTCCAAAACCAAATTAGGGTAGTAGATGGGTAGCATAATCCCGTTTCGTCCAAATCGTGATACTTGTTACCAACGAAATATGAGTATAGATTATTTCACAAATAAGATTGATTTGATGAGTACGCAACCAGATAACTACACCAATAAGTAGCCTTATGAAACAACGAAAAGTGCTATAACCACTTTTCTCTTACCTCTACACAAGCCATCATTACCAGTATGCTAGAATTAGCACTGAAACGTACTATACAATATAAGAGTGGTACAATTCACGATAGACGCGTACTGACGACCGTAACCAGTTAAACCAAAGTGCTGTTGGCAAAACAGCGATTGAGCAGCGGAGTTGTTCCAGAAGGTGCAAAACAAATATAAGAGTAACAATTATAAACGACGACTCAACCATAGGAATGTCTAGATAGCAAAGAACATAGGAAAAACCTAGTGAAGAAGAAACAGCAAAAAAAAAAAACTGAATGCACACTCACATAAAGCTAACAAAGCGTATTAAATATGAATTCTAAGAGATAAAAGCCTAGTGGAAACCTGAAATTTACAATTTTTGGAGTTTATAAAATGGGAATTGAAAAATTCAAACCTCGAAAACTCATAAGGCTAATATACTTACTAATTCATGCTGAAGTCTGACTGTGAAAGCGACCCACGTGAGCTGCTATCATCCATATCGGAAACTGTAAAATAATAAGTAAAGAATGAAGCGCTCTTTCTTCATCAATGCCTTAAGGATGCGACGTGCATTCTATTCCATTAAGCATTTTAGAGGTGATCGTTCAATTTAGCTTAAGCAACACCTTGCGCTGGCCTACCGATATATCAAATCAGCAGTGTTCTAGTCCCCCAGACAGGTATCATACCCATTTGCCGACCTCGGATGAATGAAGTGGTTTGGTGTGGCCTGAGTGTGAAATCGAACCAAAGACCGCGTGTTTTGCAGGAGTGCCTCCAATCACTGCTCTTAGAAAGTGTAATAGTGAGAAAACTCTAGTATAAAAGAGTACGATACCAATTTTTCATCGTAAGTAAACATCACTGTCAAATAGTAAAACTACGTCACCATTGGTTTTACTGCGAATATAAGCACTGGTGGTGATAAGTTCAACGAACAAGAAAAACCAAGTTTTAGTACATTTAGGTCAGGTAAGAATCATTAAAAGAGACCAAAATATGCGAAAACACTATGCCTACTTGCTTCTATCTTCCTATCAAAATGTTCTTAACTTGTTCTTTTGGTAACGCCAAGGTAAACTTACGCTAATGGGAAAACTTTGTCCCTTCAATCAAATTCCTTACAACGACCCTCTCAGTTAAGTTACTTGAAAAATAAAAACTAACCAAAATTATCTTCATCTCACATGGAAAACATGCAATTTATTCATTTACGAAACAACCGAAAAGAAAGCAAAATACCATTGCCATCGGTGGTACGAGATGTTGAGTGTTGAGGTACACAAGGTGGACCCATGAGATCAGGCCGAATGAGTGAAGTCATGGAATCCATTTTTGTAGAAAATCGCGACACTGCTATCTCAACGTTCCTGCAAAATCCAAAGATGCAAGATGCTTGTCTATAAATAACACACTTATGAAAACAAAACACCAAGCGAACAGATGTAGAGCAATGCTTCCAAAAATGAATGAAAAAGTGTAAAATTGTCCTAACGGAAAAGTTTTGAACGCATTATTAGATTAATAAAACTTGAAAATACTCATTGAGGGTCGTAATAATCAAATAAAAACGAAAAGACGGGTCTTATAGAACGTACAACCGTCAATGCCACGCTCGCATTCTTCTTTAAAAGACAAAGAAACACAATTTAGGTTTTATTTTGCAAAGCGGATCCACTCACTTCAATATTCCGTCACAAATCTGTTCTTGCATTGTCACAACCCTCTCAGAACAAAGTTCCATTACGAAAAAGCGATAGCATGTAGGAATTTCTTGCATTTAAAACAAGTCCTAATCATGAAAATTATAAAAATTAACAAGAACTATGCAGCAAATATTGGCCTACAACAGGATCCATTAGTAATGCGCAGAGGTGGTGAGCATTCACCATAATTTACTTGGATGGTCGGTTTAAAGATAAGACGGAGATTTGTCACCATGAGACTAGTTTGACACCAGAACGGTGGAAACATTATTGGTTCACTCTTCGCTGGGCTTCCTGATGAGGAACACCACCCAGCCACGATAGGGCGGTAAACCGCTGGGAAGTTGTGTTCTTTACATACAAAAAATAGTGCGACATGTCGAGACAAATATTTAACATGGGATCAGTAAAGCAGCACACACTTAACATATTGGCGACGACGTCCAATTCCCATCGGCTTCCAAATATTTTTCAATACCTAATGTGAGTTTAGAACTTAATACGGTTATATATCGGACATTCCCCTATCGCCGAAGTGATACAAACAATTTTCTTCAAACGTTATTTCATTCTTTACAAGGCCGCTTGGAAATTAATATCCGACTTCGTATTTAATTGTTCTCGTCGGTGTTTTAGTAAATGCTTTTTTTTTCGACTACTGTACTATTGCGTAGCAAAACAGTTGTAAAGTACGTTTCATGCAGTTTAACTCAGTACAATCGATTTGTAACATAAATTGTGCTTCTGATATATTTTTTTCTAGACAGAAAATTCAACATAAAACCAATGTAACGAGTGCAAACAGATTTAATGTAGGGCAAACGGCTCTAAACATATGGGCCTTAGGACCAAAGAAATGTTAACGAACAAACAGTGGGATGTTGGCTTGAAAAATTTCGTCGTGGAGAATTTGACCTTGGATATGTGAAAGATTGTAGACGTCCTTCCGCTATTAGTGACGATGAATGGAAGGCTTTCATGCAAACAAATATATGCACAAACGCTTGACAACTAGCAGAAGGACTCCTTGTAAGGACTTCAACTGTTCTGGAACTCATAATAGCGTCCTGCTCATAACAGCACGGCTCTGAGGAAGGTGACAACACTAACAGCAACGACAACAACAACGACAATGTTTTGGAAGACTTGAATGAGCCAGAAAGCTGAAGAAACTGCACGAATGGATGACGCACAAATTAAGGTATTAAAGATTTAGCGAAAAAAGGTGTACAGGATGCACAGTGGGCGACAGACGTTGTGAAATACATGCATAACCGGTGGTTCGACCCTGCCCGTTCCAACAACCAAATCCCCCCATCCCTTCAAGATAGACAAATTGGTACTAAATTTGTTTGAGAAAAACTCCTCAATCCATAAAAACCAACGAATGCATGTGGAGAAAATTCCTGATGTTCTAGTAGAACTATTTCAGGGTTCCAGGGGTGGAAACCCACCGCACATGCAAATACGCAGATCATTGTGGATAACACAACGATAGCGAATCGTTAGAAAAGATGCTAGGAATTGAATAGATTTTTGAAAAGCTAGCGAAAGATAGGAAAAAGTGAAAAAGTTGAATGCGGCCGTTGAAATTCGAGGATAACAGCAGAAAGAGAAAGTAATGAGTGTGAACTTAAAAGTTGTACGAGTGATAAAATTATATACAAATGAGTTGCAAAAAGTAAGAGCAGAAAGAAATGACGGCAAAACAACCATAAAAAAGGAAACTGTAAAAAATTATAAGAGAAACTACCTTGACATCTCGTTCTTTTCCTTTCGTAACGTACTGATGACATCCTCAAGTTGACGAATTTGAGCAGCTTCTAAAAATTGTTTTGTGATAAGGAAGCGAAAAATGAAAATCAGAAATCGATTAAAGTAGGTAAGAAGGATAAAAATAAGGAATTAAGAAGAAGAAGAAGAAGAAGAAGAAGAAGAAGAAGAATGAGGAAAAAAGATCAAAATGAAACAAAAAGAAAGAATAAAACTGGGAAAAAAATAAAGAGAAGGAAATGAAAGAACAAACGAATGAACGCAAGAAAGAAAAGGAGGAAAATGAGCATGGAAGAAGGTAATAAAACAGAGAAGAAACAGAGAAAAGAGAAAATGGCAACAGGAAATGAAAAATACGTTGCCACTTACTGTTTCCTTCTCTTTCTCGCATCTCGGCTAACTGCTGCTCAACTCGCTTGAGTTGCGAGCGCAGTCTCGCCACCTCAGAGCCACTGCGACTCGCACTGTCTACTGGGAATCGATCATTACTGTCACTGTAAAAAGAGAAAAAAACAGCATCGTAGACATCATTTATCGACGATGACAGACATTGCCAAGAAACGTCATAAGTATGGACTACACGAATAAATACAACTTCACACTGTTGCTCTAAATATAAACACAATGTTAACTTTTATCTGCTGCCTACTACAATTTTTTACGGAAAGGTACTATGTGAAATACAACCATAATGATGCTGAGATATTCGCAAAACGCCGAACCGCAGGTGTATGCGGTGGGGATCGAACACGTTAATAAGTTTTCCTGGGGTTAATGCATTCACCACCACACGATGCGGATCTTTATGGTTATAAACTCACAGTTAAGCATCTAAAGAAGGTTAATTATATTATGTAAAGGTTGATTATATAAGTATAGTTAAGTTAATACACAATTAAGTGTATAAGTATATAAAGTAGAACTCGCATGATGTACTAGTGAACACGCTGGTCCCCTGAAAGTGTAATAGTGCGTTCGTTCATCACCGCAGACACCTGCGGTGTAGAATTTTGTAAATCCCTCAGCAATATTGTGGTTATAAGCTCACAGTTAAGCACATAAAGATACTGGATACAATATGATAACTTGTACCTCTGGTTGACTAAAGATCCAATAACTTCGTCGTCATCAATGAAACCATTTAAATATGCCTTCTGGAGACTAGCTTGCATCTTTCTACAATTCTAAACCAATTAGAAAGCAAAAAAAAACAGCATTGTAAAAATAATGAGACCGCATGGAAGTGGACTTGTCAGAATGTTGATCAGTTCAATCTTAATTTCTCCATTGGTGTTTACATTTGACCTAATGTTGTGTCCAAATCAACTGCTTGGAGGACCGAATTAACTAATTAAAGGAGTCGTAACCGACATAAAAGTTTCTTCCGAACTTCAAGGGCCAGTGGCTATCTGTGAATGCCTTAAGACACTGTAGCAAGGTTACACCAAATCTCCAGAGCAAAATGAACCACCCAACCAGCAATGAAACAGCTTCAGTATCCAGCAAACTGAAGCTCCCATCAACGATATTGGGCGGTGAGACAACCGGCGAAAGGCGATCAAATATGGGGCTGTAAACGACGTTACTGGAACTGGACCAAACGAACACGCTCACGATATTATATGAAGATTGCTTCATACTCTGTAACTAAAATGTCATCACGCTCTTCATGAGGGATAAAGTCACGCCAAATTCCATATGGTCGCCTTACAGAAGATGAAAAAGCTAGTAAAACCAAGACACACCAAGTGATCGACAACATTTTTGTTATTCGCGTAAAAAAAACGTCTTGATGTGTAGGTGGCATTGGTCATGTCGTCCACTAGTAGATTAACCAAATCATGCATTCACAAGAGATCCTTGACCATCTCTCTAGTCTTCAACTTGTGAGCCCCCTCAGTCTCATAGGACCAATATCACCAGCTACTACTCATCCACCGGTTAAGTTGAAGCGTACGAATTAGATGCTTTTTATCATCGGTTACAGGAAATAAATCAAGAATAGCCAGTGACAGCAACAAAAGATTGGAAAATTTTGAAGAGGAAATCGAAATAAGAATAAAAACCGTCCTCATGAGCTCCTGTTCATGACACGCTTATCACATAAAAATTCATTCTGTCAGAAGGAAGTGACCACTGAATATAGATGTCGCTTAACGGTGCGGCTCGTACGAAGACTGATCACATCCCTATAAATACAACACGGTACCAGCTTGACACTTACGTAGTCCTATCATTCTCTACTGGATACGATCAACCACTTCTCGAGAAATATCGATTCAATCGTACACGGAAAAAAACTCGACATGGCAGAGGAAGAAAAATAAAGGCCCAGTATATGACGACGGCTCCATGAAACGGTTCCTCATATGACAGCGAAACCAACGAAGATGCAAACGAAGATTACTGGCTGGTTGTCCGAGGACGGAAAACTGTTTCAAAACCGTCTGTTTTCCAGACAAGTTCAAATTGCATCTCCATCAACAATAAGAGGTTGCTCAAAAAGAGAATGAAAGTGAAGACTGATCCTGCCACAAAACACCTGCCATATCCGGCAATAAACGTCAGCTGTAGCAGCTCTCAGGAGCAAGTCCTACACTGGTAAAGACGGGAAAAGTTACTGCAAGCTGCTCAAAAACGAAGCAGTTTGAAGAAGTGCTGCCGAGACACAGCAGACTATGATGCTCCGCTACCGGATGTGAAGGACGAAGATCTGACTGCCATCATAACCCGTCATAATAACCACGAACAAATTCTGAATCAATATTCTCTGCTTCGCAGTCCCCATCGAAGACTCAGAATCTTCGTCGAAAATCATCGCGATAGAAAAACTGTTCCGGATTTCAGGATTCTTTCCTCTAAAGCTCGAGATGCGATAAAAAGCATGAAGACAGTAACAGCTCTATCACTCCGTAATATTACAGCCGACCTCCTTTGATGTGGAAGTTATAAATCATGTGTACTTCCTTCAACCTATATGAAATTTTTACCTTAAAAAGAAAAGACCTCCCGTTCAACAAGAGCAATCGAAAGGGTTTTCATAATTATCACCCAATTTGCTGAGTGTGCTCTAAAGCTCTTATCGAAGATTAGCTATCGCGCATATCAAGCACATTTGATGAAGGGTATCCCCTTCTGTAGAATGGAATATATAAAAAATGTCCACGATCGTAGCGCCGGCTAGAATAGATTACTTATAGCGCGTATGAAAAACACTGTATGAGGAGCAAGATGTTGAGTAAGCAGCATTCCAACAAGGATTCCGTTGCATTGAACACATTTAAACGCTGTGGACGGTCACAGCCCATTGGGAATACCACCCGAAAGTTACCTTTGCCGATTATGAAAAACGATTTGATAGTGTCGACATAATTGCATCAACGCTTGCCGATGGCCTGTCCTGTATATGAACTCTAGCCGACAGTTATCGTAACTACATCACAAAAATACAGCATTTTCACCGACCCCTCTACCATTCTCAATGAAAACTTCCTAACAAAGTGATATCTTTTTCGTCTAAATGGTTTATTGCCGAAATACAGCGGATAATAAAGTCATTGGATTGATGACATAACGACGTATGTATCAATGGCAAATTCCTGCCAAAGCTAACTCAACTTCGAAAACTAGGATGCAGGAGAACATACATCGATGGCGAAACATGGATAAGTCGGTCTATAATAAGAACAGTAGTTAACGAACTGACGGAAAGACTGCGTAATGGACTTCAAGTGGAAGCAACCTACCTGTAGGAAAACAACCTATAAGACGAGCAGACATGTCTGCAAATGAAATAAATCAGTTGTGCTGGTGGCAACAAACTTTATACATCAGAAAATGATACTCGTACACGTCACCATATTCAAGGCAAACTCGAACCCAAGGAAGACGATGATAAGAAGATGAAACTAATGGAAAGTATTCTGGTGCTCGCTCTACCCATGATGACGGATCGCCCAACTATCCAAGTAAGCGCTACGTGCAATATCGCCGAAGTACTGAGAAAAAAAACACATGCCTCTTTTCCTGACTGAGTTGGTCCATCTGCTTTCCGAGCGTGTTGAATAATAGCTCTTGCTCGTGCTCAAGAGCGTTTTCCTGATCAATTTTTTCCCTACGCATTCGATCCATATTCTGAACAGGTATTAATGGAAAAGGACAAATTTCAAAACGCATTTTCTCAGCCTTATCAAGGAACTTGACTTCAACAGCGTTCTATTCGAAACGTGAAGAAACATTTGCTTGATGTCTGAAGAAAGAACGAAGTAGGAATCCCCACGTTTCAAGTACTCATATAAAGCATTAAGAGAATAACGATAAAGTCAGAGAGTTCACCCTTCTTCCAGTTGCTACTTCACTCTCCATACGACGAATCGTCGTCAAGAGTCCATCAATGACATTAGCTTGTTCATTTTTCACGTTGCCTTCTAGCAGATCGCGTTCGGTTTGTAACTAAATAGAGAAAAATGCACCTAACCAATGATAGGCATCATTTTACAATCAACAAAGGAGGGGGTCTACAATCTTTTCAAATAGAAGTTCTTGCCACTTTTGACCACAATTTTATTCTAGCCAGTTATACATTTACCATCAATCATTACGAACAAATGCTTGAATACTTGGACTTCTCTCTTGGCGACTCACAAAGAATCAAACTAGTTGGCCTTTAAAACCCTGCTCTGAGGATGAACCTCCACTATACATCGCAGACAGGAATCCATGAACAATTGAAAATGGAGATTTGAGGGACATTGACATTTTTGACGTTTGACACTTATTAGGCATGTTGTGCACAATCTTTCCCTATACACAACGACCTCTAATCGAAGAAGCTGGCGAAGCTGTATTTTTTTCAGCTCATCGAACTCCTCGCCACAAAGGTCTCTCAAGGAACGTAACAATCCAGTTCAGAACAAACTTTCCACAGCTCTTTCGTAGTTAAAGTGGAAATTACTTGCTATAAATGACGAAGAAATTATTCGCATGTCCTTATCAATCATTTCATTCCAAACCTTTCGCTGAATTATGTGTATGAAATAATTAGCAAATACACATCTATGCGGAAAATATCCCCCTCAGTAGAGACAGATAACGCCGTCAACTGGATCTACTTGAGAATTAGGTCGCTAATAATTTGTATTTAACATATACTTTAGCGAGACATTTCGCCTCCTGATCAATCATATCGAGAATCTAGACCACGAATATCCAAATATTAATTTACAACCAACAAAATTATGCTGATAGATTCGAAAACACTGATGTCAAGCCGTTATCCATCATAAATAGTGACGTGTAAAAATAAAGAGCTCTTGGCATTGAGTAATCCCTAAGGGATGTGCCAGACACTCCACTTCATTAAGCATCACTGGAGGTGATTGAATGCATATCTAGCCTTTACAATGACTAACGGTGGTCTGCCGATGTATCGAGCTAGTGATGCTATCCTCCCAGACAAGTCTGGTACCAATTTACCGACCCCGAATGGATGGAAGACTTGGTGAGCCTGGAGGGCAAGGGTCAATCCCACTTGCATTGCAGTGCATCTCTGACCAATGCGCCACACACGCTCACGACAGTGACGTATACAACAAAAATAAAAAGTAAAAAGAAACTGAGTCCAGAACAAGATATAAAAATCCCGAATATGACAAACCCAGTTATATCCGTATATGCACGAGTCTGAAACGATATTCCTGGGCATCGAAAAAAAGAGCGGTGTTCGATCATGCTACTCTCGAATGTAACCACACCTGTTTTAGCTCTCAACCCATTTTCACTGATTGATTCGATGTGTAACCACCTAACAGTCATAATTAAGCGCTCAATGGTTCAAATAATTCTAACACCAGAGTCAAATATAGCAATTACGGATATCCCTACCAATGTCAAAGCGTTGTTCGTTGGTCAACCTAAGAAATACAAGTGACCCAACTGTCTTAATATACGATGATTTTTTAAGAATACGAAAATATTTGTAGTACAAATGAGTTTTCAAACAGAAGTGCACACTAAAACAACTTTTAAACTGTGAATACCGCATCACTATGAAGGTACACAGTTCAGGTGACAGAGACGAATTTTTACACCGAGATAAATCGAATTCTACACACCTGCTTAATCTTTCTCATCAAATCGTTTGTCAAAAACTCCTCCTCCTGCTCATATTTTTGGGCCAATGTCTCCTTATCATTTTTCAGCTTCTGAATCCTAAACACTGATAGAATAATTTTACACCAAAGTCGAAAACATAGGATTCAAGAAACGGCTTGTAATTGGTTAATTAGCAAAACTGGAAGTTTTGCCTTCGATAATAGAAGGTTCTTTTTTAGATACGCAATCAAAACCACTACTAAACCGCATACCAAGCAGAGACCTTCCAGAAGGACACCAATCCAGTAAAATTACATGAAGCTATCATTCAAAATCGAAACAACTCTTAATAGTTGCTATTGCCTTGTGGTGAGCGAAGTAATCGCACCCATTATAAATATTCTCGAAATGAATTAAAAGAATAAAGCTCCAGGCACTGATCAATCCCAGTGTCATGCATTCGCTTTCATTAAGCATCGTTGGAGGTGACTGAATGCACATCCGGCCTTTACAATGACTCGCGATGGCACCCCTACGTATCGAGCCAATGCTGCTATCCTTCAAAACAAGTCTGGAACAGTTTGCTAACCCTGGAGATATGGAGGGCATAGTGGATCAGGGGCACGGAGATCGTCGAACCCATGTGTATTGCAGAGCATCTCCGACCACTGCGCTCTTCGAAATCAATTAAGGAATAAAGTTCGAAAATATGACCGAAACACGTCTAACCGCAGCGAATATCGTTATCTAGCAAACACTGAAACTGCTATCTAAGTACACACATTCCCTTTGAAACAAATCCTCCAGTGTCGAAAGCAACTATACTTTTGAGATTATAATAAGACTTCAAGGAAATGTTTTAGATTACCATATTATTTCCACCGGCCTAACGTTGGTCACTCTACACAGAACAGGAAGAAAAAAGCAAATCTCATTATTAGCCTCCTCTTCTTAAGGAGATTATAACTAAAATAAAGAAGAAACAGAGAGAAGGTATGGTAGGGACAAAAAAAGCACCTTTTCAGCAATATGTTTGAGATATACTCCTCTTCTTGCTCAGCTTTCGCATATATCTTCACGTATGTCTCCTTTATTTGTCTATTCACATGAAGGAGATTATCGTAGCTCTTTTGCATTTCCCGTAACTGACGCTGAAAGGAATTATGTTAGAACCTACTACCATATGATAGAAGATGGACGATTGCTAGCGAATATATTACTTCTTGTTTACGACATCTCTTTAGCAACTCAATTGCTTCTGCGTACAACAACTGCTTCGAATCATCTTCCTTGGTGGTCGATTCGCGGTTCGTATTCTGACCGACGGTTGCACTGTCCCGATTCTCCATCGAGCCAAAACGCCGTTGCGCCTATTTAAAAGCGGGATAAAATAGAAAGGCATAAAATAGCCAAATGAAACATTACAACTGTGAAAAAACAAATATCGATAAATAACTCACAACAATCATTCTGTACAGTTCTGGATACTTGTTCTTCACCTCCAAATCACGACTGAGCTCGACCATATCCATTCTGCTGATCGTTGAACGGCGACTTGTTTCACCGCTATCCGATATACCGTAACCCTATGTGAATCATAATCAGAATGTCACTATGGGGAATTCTCTGATGATCATGCAGGAAGAGTTAATATTGCACAGGTGGTGATCGAACGCTCGCTCATCGCTAAAAAACACGTCATCGAACCAGCCGTGACTAAACAAATCCACCGCTAACCAGGACTTTTCCTTTTTCCTCTTTTTGTTGTGTGACATCAGCCGATAACCGCAAATTTTGAGCGTCTGGTACAGGACAACCATCACTACTACTAGTGGCTTCTACCTGCTTCGTATCCTATTTTTTTGGAACAAATTTGCAAATCCGATCAGTGCTTTTTAAAGTCTGCACATAATCACTGACGTCATCAAAACATCGTGCATGTTAAACAGCATTATTTAGTAAAGCAACATTGCAAATCAAACACGATGACGACTCTTTTACATAGTCAGTACTCGGTGGAAAGTTCATTCGTCATAAAGGATAAAAAGAATAAACCTCTCGGTGTTGATCAATCCCTTAGAGATGCGTCATGCATTCGACTTCAATAAGCATCGTTGGAGGTTACTGAACGCATATCTGGCCTTCACAATGACTCGCGGTAGCCTACTGATGTATCGAACCAGTCCTACTAGCCTCTCAGAGAACTCTGGTACTAATTTGCCGACCCCGGATGGATGGAGAGCTTGGTGAGCCAGGTGCGCGGGAATCGATCCCGTGTGTATTGCAGGTGCCTGCGACCACTGCGCTACAAGCGCCATAAATCGCCATACACGGTAAAAAGCCAGTTATCTTGAAGTCATAAAAACACTTTGTCATACGTTTGCTGCAACTGAAGACAAAAGATCACTGATAAATGCAAAAGTGCAGCGAGTACAACACGGATACTCCATAGTACTAGTAACATTGTCTGGAAGTAAATCGATTATTTTGCAGTGCCATGACACAACACACAGACACAGAACCATGTAATCGGATGTTACATAACTAGCACACCTCCACAAATGGCACATTTTCAAAGTTCAACATCCAAAGGAAAAGAAAAAGGAAACAAACAAAGGATAACATTCACACATATTGAAGCTAAGGGCTTTTTTCTCTTGCGTTCATTACTTAGATAAAGCGCAAATAGTCTATAACGATCTCTATAAAGAAAAAAAGCATGGAAGCTTAAAGCAGAGAACTATGACTTCTTGCTCAAATCATTAACCTAACGCCAGCAACAACATTTATGTTTCCTTTGGTTTCGTAAGAGACTGATGCGGTATGGAATAAATACCTTAACAAAGATCCGATTCATCTTAAAAACTTCTTCAGTATGCTATGCTTATCACTTTTGTACCAGAATTTTGAAAGCAAACGAATAAACGTATTCCTAAAAGAAATCCAAGATAACTCAAGAGAATTACTTTCTATAAACCTCGGCATAAATAATCCACATATTTATTTATAAGTTCTTCAGAAATAATCTTGTTAAGCTGATTTGAGGTTGGTATAAGTTGTCGTTGTTGTCGTTGTTGCTGGTCGATGGCTGACGTTTCGGCGATTTAGCCTTCCTCAGAGCCGTGCTGTTAGGAGTGGAACTCCATAACAACAACGATAACAACGACAATCACAACAATAACAACAACAACAACAACAACAACAATATCAAGGACTTATACCTACCTCGCATCAGCTCAGCAAGTTCAGTTCAAAAGAATACATAAATAAATTCACGAAAACGTCCTTTCTGTAGTGAATGCTTTATTGTCCAGTGATAGAAAGCCAGATGGAAGCTGTACGTTTCAAATTCATAAGTCACAGAATGATGTTCGATTTCTATTTCTAAGCTAACTTCAGGCAAAGTACTCCTTTGCATATGAAATATGTTTCAAAAAAGAGTTCGCAACTCTGCTTTTACGCGTCTACGACAATGCGCACTTCCAAAACACTGCCTCGTTCTGCTTTCAAGCTTCTTCTTTCGGACAGAAATGAACAATCAGTTAATACAACAATGCTGTAACATATACATTCAATAATACATTATTTAGACAAAAAACTATATAGGGACTTCATGCATCACCAACCTCATCACTCTCTATGGGAGGATCACCACATTCCGATGTTCGAGATGAGATCAGCATCGGTGAAGCAACTATAGACTCAGGGCTAAACAATATCGCTTCAGTCACTATTCACTAGGGATAAACAGGAAGGGAAAAGAAAAAAGAGAAGAATGTGACATCCTCGTCTTTCGAATCGACTTTCTTTAACAAATAGATAGGATATAAATAAACTTATACAAATCAAAACTACTGCAGTAGCGTCTTTGTAACTTCTGAAGGACAACTGCGGTAAGTTTTCTTGCGATTTGTTAGGAATAAAGGAGATGTACTGTAAGGGAATAAGAGTAAGAATAAGAGAATAGGGGATGTACTAAGGAATAAAGGAGAATAGTTGACCTAACAATAACGAAAAAAATGACTGCTTAAGTAGTGCTTAAATCAGAATTAACTAGACTAAGGAGTTCACCTCGGTGCCGATTGGTCGAATTCCGGATGTGGACTGCTACGAAGCAGTGGAAAATCTGAAGGACGACGGTCCATCACCTATAATTTAAATAAAACCGTAACCGAAACCTATGCTGAAGATCATAATCAGTAAGGATAAGCTTCTACATGAGATAGGGAATATCGATTGTAGAAATGCAACCACATTCTATGAAAGACAGGAGAGTAATCGATATTGGAGTGAAGTTGGCGGACGACAACGTCGGACAACTACAATGTCAGCTATGACTTTCAGCAAACCGCATCAGAACAACACATGAATTGAAAGAGCACTGCTGTGACTGTGTAGAACATGAGGCTTTGTTCAATGGAATGTAGCACTGATAAGTTAAGTACAATTATTCCAGTGTTGTTTAGTTAAGTAAGTATGGTATCACAAGTACTAGACATTATCTGAGGATCGAGTCCATTTGACAACTAAGGACTACAGGCTGCTCATATCAATCATAACGATGACAATTCATGAATGAAGAAAATCACTGGACAAGGAAACCATAATAATCCAAGCATTAACATTTGAGAAACTGCTAACCTGTCGCTGGTTGCACAAACTTGCAACTGATGACCATGTATGGCATTTTAAACATTACCGTTATTCTCTATGCATTACAATAGATATTACACACAAAATGAAACTAAGGAGGTAACAGATACCTCCGAAATTTCTGGTATTGGAAAATCATTTCCAACTTTGGACGACGAATCGGAGCGCGTTTGGGACGGATCGGAGCGCGTTTGGGAGGGATCGGAGCGCGTTTGGGAGGGATCGGAGCGCGATTCGGCCGGCTGTTGCAAAAGTGCACTGCGAGCGGAAGGACGTGTTCTCGTGAACAGATTTGCAATTCATGAGCAATGTATGCTACTTTAAAGCTTACTCTTCTTCATGCAGAACAACTTAGATTACAAATGAAAGGAAACTAAGGGAGAACAGATCTGTCGGTGAATGGTCTTGAGCTGTGGACGACGGACGACGCATCGGAGCGCGACTAGGCCGGCGGGGCTCGTGTGCAAATGTGTTCTGCGATCGAAAGCATGTGTATTGGAGCTATCCAGGGCATTACTATTCTCCGTGGCAGCACAATTTAGATCACAAATGAAACAAAACTAAGGCAGAACATATCCATGGAAGAATGGTCTCGAGCTGTGGATGACGGACGATGGACGGACGATGGACGGACGGACGACAGAAGGACGACGAATTGGAGCGCGAGTCGGTCAGCGGCTGTGCAAATGTGTACTGCGAGCGGAAGCATGTGTGTTGGAGCCGTCCAGCAGAAAAAACACCCATTTCATGTCGGCTATGTTTCGAAGCGATCATTTCATTCCCGAATGACATATGTACGTTGAAAACAAATGATCCATTTCGCATCGTGAATATGGAATTCGTACAGAAAAAGCGTATCGACGCTGTTTAAACGAGTACGTAGGAACGTCTACGGTCAGTAGCAGCCGTAACAAAGCATGCGTCTAGTACGGTAAGCAAAAGAAATATATACGAATATTACTCCGTAAGAACTTCCACGATTCATTGTGTCTGACTGAAAACTGAAATGTTAGAGTTTATAGGACTTTGCGAATTACCATAATGCATCATCGCACTGCCGTCGAGAACGAAACGAAACGTTCGAGAAGATTCGAGCAGATTTTGTAGACTCTGTTCTTGACTGGTATATTGAACGGTTTCAGGATATTCACCTTTATTTGTAACTGATGGAGTTTCGGTATATTATGGATGACTTTTTCATCCTAACGAACTTCAACAATAAGTGTGCACTTATCATTCTCCGATGATGGCTCGACTCGGCTGGCTCACATTTGAGTTTATCAGAAAGTTTTCATCGTCGATGTTGATCACATCAGTTTGCAATGGTCGGCTATGGGAACAAACAGATGCAAATTCATGGTGACTTTCGAACTTTCCTTTTGTGTACACCGTCTTCTTCGCTCTGGTAAACTTTGCTACGAAGTGTTGCCATGAATTCCATCAATGAATGATCGAACTTAGAACTTAAATTCGGTCACTCAGATTGTTCCATTTCAATCCATAAGAGTCAATCTGAAACGTTCTAGGTCTTCTATCCTAAAATTTTATGCGCCGAATAACGATCGTTGCAGACACACGACTTCGTCGAAACTCTCATATGCTTCGAATTACCAGGCATGTTTAGCGCTGAAGATGATCCTCTTTTTTCTTTTTACAATCAGAAGGAACTCATTTACTTTGATCTTTTGTTTTCGTAAGCCGCACAAATTCCAAAATTTCCTTCATTCGTTTTCTTGTCTTTCAATCACCGTTTATAGAGGTGATCGGGTTCAGCTGTAGATCTGATTGCAACATGAAGATATTTAAACTTCATTCTTCACCTAGATAGTGAATTCTGGTCATTGTTATTCTCGCTGCAATCCCAGGATAGCCGTCTCGGGACGTTCGCAGTTCATCACAACAACCTGGCATTTGTGGATCGAAGAAAGATTTGCACTATTGCGACTCCTATTCATCCAGGATGGCAGCAATTTCCGTAACTGCTGAGAATTATGCGATTAGTTTAGATCAACAGCTGGAGAGTGATGAAAAAAGCTGAAGACATAAAAGAGAACCATTTTGATAATTACTGCTAATCACTTAAATTTAAGCAATAGAGGTTTAAAGTGATATTCACGAGCATTCATATATGAAGGATAAAGGATAAAGGTCTCGGCGTTGATCAATTCCTGAAGGATGCGCCATGCATTCGACTTCACTAAGCATCGTTGGAGGTTACTGAATGAATATCTGGCCTTGACAATGACTCGCAGTGCCCTACCGATTCATCGAGCCAGACTGCTGTCCTCCTAGACAAGTTTGGTACTAATTTGCCGAGCGCGGAGTGATAAGGCTTGGTGAGCCATAGGGCGCAGGGATCGATCACATTTGTGCTGCACGGAGCTTTGGACCACTGCGCCACACGTAGCTATATACATAAACAGACAGCTCAAACCCTGTTAGCTACTTATTGCTGCGAATTTCAAACAACTTCCTCATCTGTCTTAAACAGCAAACAAGCACAATTAAGTCCACATTCGGTCGAAAGTATTCTTCCCTCCGTAATAACAGTATTAAACGCTTAGGAAATGTTAAGCCATCAACATGCTTCTTTCGTTTGTTCAGTTCACACGAGATTGTCATAGAACCTTTATTCGGCTAGCGTTTCGACGTCTTCGTTTTCTTCACACCCGGACTGATCCGAGTCGATAGTCCACGAAGTTGTATTTTCTTCCGATGTAGATTTTCTTGATCGTATCGAGCTGAATCCAGTCGACAACACTGAGAATAAAGTCATCTCACTCAGCAGCGCTCTTTTATACAGAATGGCCATTGGAACTGATGGTCCGTTGACAAATATCCATGAAGATAATCTATCCATTAGTAGTAGTAGATGCCGCCATATTAGCTAGTACGTGGTGAAAGAAAAAATATGAAGATAATCGATCAATTTCGTTGTTAGATTTAAAGACAGTAGATATATAGAGATACACATGAGCTGAGACTACCTAGAAAGTGATCTCCTGCAAAAAAACAGTAAATTCTGAAAATCCAGTTTTACTTGTATCATTCAACGATAGCTCCAGACTATATCTGCTCGTGCAAGAAGATATTTCTTACGAAAATAACAAAGTCAAAGAGACTGAAGGATAAGAACGTCGAAACAAATCCAGAGATCTGTGATCTATCGGACTATGAAATTCTGTATGAAATCCCAGCAAACATCAATGGACTATTGTCAGCGAATGCATGTCCATAGAAAGCGATCCGTGAGACGGTTGAGATGTTGAGTAGCACGCTTAAGCACCATTCGGCCACTAGTGGGTCTTGTTATGCCTGCGGCAGAATGCGTATTGATTCAGCCGAAACCGTGCTGACCACCTCTGTCTATGGTTGCCCAGCAAACTCGGTCAAATGCACTTAGTGAACAGAAATTTCCTAATCGTCATCCAGAGTTCTTATATATTGTATTCATTCATTCATTAATTAATTCATTCACTCATTCATTCATTTATTTATTCATTCATTCGCTTACTCATTCATTCATTCATTCGGATTTGATTAGTTATTATGTAAATGGTGCTGAGCATGAACAAACGAACTTCCAGTCAAGGCATCTCGGCAGCAATGCCATTGTCTGTTAATTTCATATATGCCTATATCCGATATGTTTTACCGCAGTCTTCAGTTAGGGGAACACGAGTTACTCCACAAATTGGATACTATTGATAAGTGTAGTCCGTGCGAGGGACGTATAGCACTGAAGGTAAGCCTACCGTGTTCTTAAGGGGTCAGTAATATAAATGATCATATCAAATGTATAGTACTGAATCTATGCCAAATCGATATACGGACTGTTTTTCTGTTTAGAATATTCGTCAGTTTCAGTTGTTTGCAAGTAAAGTACTCAGTTTTGAAGTCTAAAAATCAGTTATTTGCGATGAGATGAGCAGTATTGGAGAACAGAAACCCAGTGAATGGTTGAAAGTTGGTCGGTCGGTCGGTCGGTTGTTTTTCTGTCGTTCTGCAAAGACCTTAAACTAAACGAACATTGATCGATTGCTTGCAGAGAGTGTAATATAAGACAGAGTTCTTAACGTCTGTTGAGGAGGTTATTCAAGCGTCCCATATGCTTTTGAGCATATGAGAGTAATTGTTGCACTTTTTCTCTCCCTCTCTCTGTCTCTCTCTCTCTCCCTCTCCGAAACGATGCTTCATATCTATACTTTTAAAGTATGTTGTTAATTTTTTACTCATCGTGAAGACTCATTCACTTAGTTGAAGCAGATTTGTACTTCTTTGCGTTTATTTAGGAACATTGATTGCTTACTGCCAACAATCTGAGAACTTTAGAAAGTCATGAAATGAGTATACCTAAGGAATTGAAGAAATACAACGGCGTACACAACAAATCAGAGACCATATGGTCGATTAACGTCGTCATTTTCCAGTACATCTAGAGCAGAGAACAAAATAGACAACTGATTTTGTATTATTTGTACATCTTTCTTCTCTTACTTGTCATATGATAATATTACACCCTAATAGGAGAAACGATTAATATAGAAAGAAATCTGGTACACTTTCTTCTGGCAACCTCATTAGTTGGTGAGTTGGCCTGGCCTTGCTGCTTTCTTGTATACGTACATATGCATATATGTTTACAGTGCATATATATGTACACATATATCTATATATACGTAGCAAACTACATATCTTCTTGTGGACAACCCTGAACTAGAGCAAAAGGCAGCGTACACCCCACTCCGCGCCACAGGACGCAAGCGATGGCTTCTATGGTTCGGATTCCTGAGATTAATACATGAAGGACAGAGGATAATACACCCAGCGTTGATAAATCCCTGAGGGATGTGCCATGCATTCGACTCCAATCGTAGCATTGTTAGATGTGATTGAATGCACCTCTGGCCATTACAATGATTCACGGTAGCCTATCGATGTATTGAGCCAGCACTACTATCCTCACAAACAAGACTGGTACCAATTTGCCAACCCCGAGGAATGGAAATCTTGGTGAGCCTGGAGCACAGAGATCGATCCCATGTGTACTGCAGAGCTCCTCCGACCACTGCGTCACGCGCGCCACTAGTTCATATGTTCCGTGAATGTATTAGGATAATTCGATGTTTTCTTCAATAAGCAGACACGAGGTTGTTATCATAGAATTTATTAGGATACAATAGCTGACGTTTCGGCGGTTTCCCCTTCTTCAGAGCCTGGAAAGATCAAATTGACATACAATCTACTAAGCGAAACACTTTCAGAGCCCAAGCAGAAAAATTTCATCCTCCTAGGAAACAGCTTAAGTTTTACCTGCTGAGATTATGAAAAGTGTTTGGCCGTGTAGACTACATATCGATTTGACCTTTCCAGGCTCTGAAGAGGGTGCAACCGGCGAAACGTCAGCTATTGTATCCTAATAAATCCTATAATAACAACCTCATGTCTGCTTATTGAAGAAAAACATCGAATTATCAATCAATGCCGAGGTTAAAAGAAAGTCGGTCATGGGAATTGTGTTATCCGTTTGTCAGTCTCCTCAAGTGTGTACGGATTGTAATCTTGCATGTCGAAGCACTGCGGTCAAGTAACTACTAGTAATTGAATGTGAGGGAGTTTGAGTTGCCACCGCCTCAAACAACAAATATGTGCCCGCCCGCATGTACTCTGCTTGAGCCCGACAAGCTAGCGACCTATTTCCAGCGTACAATGCTATATCCAGAAAACTGCTTACAAATCTTGTTTAAAGTGAATGAAAGAAAAAACAAATAGAAATGAAGTGCATGGCGGAAAACACGTGATATGCTTCTCCGTTCGTGCTTGTTCGAGCCACCGCAGAGCTCTTATCCGAGCAAGTGTTGTCATGCAATGAGGGCGAATAGAGACTTTACTGGTAACTTCTGCTCAGGTAGTCAATCTGATGATTTACGATATTTCAGTTGATACCGATCGTCTAACGGACCGTTTTTGCTAGGAGCTTACGTGTATGTAATACATATGTAAGCTTTGTATTTGGCTTCTCATTCGTGCTCAGATTTACTAAATAAGTATTTTGTTATTACTCTTCGATCCTTTGCACTTAGTTACTTTTTCTTCGAATGCAGAACGCTATAATGCCTACCATTTGGCTATTTGTGAAAACAGAAACTATTGAAGTTCGTCTAAAAAGGGGAAGAAGAAGAAGAAGGAGAAGAAAAAAGAAAAAGAAAAGAATGATATCGATTGTGTCTGCACTCGTGGCTTGAACATCGTTTATGCAAATTTTATATAGTTTTAAAATTAGTAAATCCTATATTTATTCTAATATCTTTTTCTATTGTCGAAATATGCGACTTTTTGACAATGTCATTAGGAATTACAGTTATCAGTTTCGCCACCTTTTTCCATTCACCATCGTCTCGACTGTTCTCTGTGCTTTTCTGTTTATCACCGTCATCTCTTCATCACCTACATTTATTTTTTTGCAGAAGTAATCAGCCAGTAATTCGTTGTCGTGTTCAGCTTCAACAGGTGTTGCATAGCCCCCTGCTCTTAGTGACGTGGACCGGTGGTTATTGATCGGAAGCATTACGTACCATTTGCATCGCCATGTTATCAGTTCATTTCTTGTTTTGAAATCGAGACTTTAGTGATTAGAAATCGTTGGGGTGAAAGCACAAGGAACTTAAAGTGCCTGATGGTATCCCAGTGCTATTCATAGTGGTGAATCGTCAAGATAATTCGCCTTAATTTTCATTGACTCTACAAATTCTACAATCTCATTACCGTAATCGTTTCAAGGATTTCAGTGGCCTCATTAAACTCTAAGTGATACTCGTTTATGATATTAACTTTAAGAGCAGTTAGATAGGCTGATTATTTTGTTCCTGTTTGATTTTTTGTTTTTATTTACTCAGAAGAGATGAATTATTGTTTGTATAACCCGGGGACTATATGAATAGGTCCCAGGATCGACTTTCTCTTAACCTCGGCATTGGAATATGAATGCGTCGTTTTCTTGTTCAGCAATCGCGAGGTTTTTAAACAGCATACATTTACTTCCATAAAAACACGATACAATACAACGCTAGCTGACGTTTCGGCAGTATCGCCTTCTTCAGAGCCGCTTTTTCGTGACTTCCAATGAGGAAGTTTAGAACAGCTGATTATAGTCGCATGTGGTTGACGACTCTGAAGAAGGCGATACTGCGGAAACGTCACATAGCTTTGTATTGTATCGTGTTTTTATGGAAGTAAATGTATGCTGTTTAAAAACCTCGCGATTGCTGAACAAGAAAACGACACATTCATATATGAATAGGTTCAATTGAATTTTTATTCCCACGTAATGAAAATCAAGCAATAGATAGAAGCAGAGATTTAAAGCCTTGACCATCACTTTTAGAGACTTTGATCCGAGAATATGCCGATGAGAATTTGTTGGCTACCTTAGAAATATCCTAGAACATATAGCTCTTTAGGATTCCGCTAGTGAAATATGCTATAGCTTTGATAGTTTTTTTCCCTTTTTTCTGGGTTAATTTAGAGGAAACATGAGAACCATGTGTCTCATCACGGCACATCTGACCAACTAAACGATAACTTTTGTATTTGATATTCATAGTTCTTCATTATTCATTCTTCTTAACTTTCAGTTCTAGTAGGCCTTCACAATACACTTTAAACATAAACATGCTGTAAATTTTGAAATTTTGGGAGTATTTTCATCTATGCGATTGTGTGTACATTATTTTTTTTCTGTTTGATTTTAAGATATTGATTGACGTGGTCAGGAGGGAATGAAGTCCTACGCTAATAAGGTGTTAGTGGTAGAAAACGTGTAGAAAAAGAGGTTTCAGTAGTACTCTAGATTTTGATAATGTTCCTATGGATGTGCTATATGGCATTTTCAAATTATATTTGGCGCATTATTCTAGCCATTGAAGGTCAACTTACGTCGATTTCCGGCCAAAACAATAGAAAAACTCCTCGCCAAAGATAAGCGAGGCGTCTCGATAGCCGATGACATGGTTCGAACGACACTTTTCCTTTCAGTAATGCCTTCAGTGAACGCTGAAGCCGTGTATATTGGTTAGAATTCTTCCTCGTTCATTCCTACATCGTCGTTCAGAAGTTGTTCACCTAAAATCATCGAAATGTCCTACTCACATGATCTCGCATCATTGCTTGATACTTGTGATTTAAATGGCGCAGCCAACTTCACGATGATTTGTACAGAACCAACTAATAATTGCTAAATGCTAGTAATTAATCCGTTAATTTGATTTGTATTCGGATGAGGTATTGCTCATTTGACGAGATTTTTCTCCTAGAGTGACGAAAAAGGCTTGCGAGCACAATCCGAGGGGTACCATCCACTACAGCCAATCGCTGTCCATTGAAGGCAAGCTTAGGACCTAGCGAGTAGGTTTTGCTTTTGCAAGACGATGATATTTTTTGGAACAGGTTCAATCTTAGCTGGATTTTCAAGTGGGAACGTCGAATGCTTTGTCATCATGAGTGGTGGTGCCGGCGCAGGAACTCCTACGGCCGTAGTACGACCTAGTTAGAGCGGACTATCTAAGAGTGCATGTCATGGTGTAAAGCAGTTAAATTTTAACGAAATCCGAATGTTGTGAATAATGTCCATGCTATAAAATAATGTGAATTTAAAGGGAGATGTTGAATGGATGGGTAAGAAGCCGTGCAGCATTTCTACGATTCTTGTTTCTAGACAGTGTAATGCGTGAATTCGTTAGCAAAATTAGCCAAAGCATCGCTCCCACATTTCCAATCGATGCTATTTGTGTAAAAGGGAAGATAAAAAACCATTAAAAACAGCACGTACAAGTTTTACTCTTTAGAGATGTTAGGACTTTGAACGTACTCTGAAATCTGTTGAAAGTCGTAGACAAAGAACAAATCGATCTGTGAGTGTTGGCATTGCGAAAATTTCCTGAGTGCTTTTTCCTGGATACGCCTATTAGCTCTTGTATGAGATAATGTGAGTAATAGTGATTCTATAGCATTAGGGGTTTAGTGCAGCGCAGCCTTACTTATGAAGTATTCCGTCCGTGCGTGGCATCGTAAAGCTGTTTGTGTTCATGTTGCTTACCTCTCATCATTCATTCGTTTCGTAGTCGTTCATCTTTCTTTTTTTTCTGTTTCCTTCTTTTTGTTTCGGATTTACCGTCAATGTTAGCTCCTTGGGCACACATAATCACGCACATCAGGTAAGGTGCTAATGTCTAACTAACATCGTCTTCATAGTACTGTTTTCAAATCGCTTTACATTCATCTTGTCATAAATTGAAGAAGTGCTGCATTTTTCCTTTTGGAGCCGTTGATGTGTTAGAAGTGATGGAAATTAACTGAGAGATTGCATATATCGTATGATCATTTTGATGGGTATTTGCTGTTTGGTTGATGAGAACGGCGGCTATGAGTCCATCACCAATTTGTATGCTATCTACTTTACTATCAGGTTAACTAAACTGTGGTACTGCGTTTGTAGTAGAGTATCGAGCTGCGATACACAATGGGAAGGATATACAGTATCCAGGCATAATCATGCCAGGAAATGAATTTTAGTTCGTAAGCTCACTGAAGACCAGTTCTCAATGCTGGGAATCACGGGAATCATGTCAGAAATCTAGTTACAATCAGTGAGAACCACTGCACCGCTATCCGAAGACGCCAAGGAGGAAATTACTCAACAAATATTTCTACAATAGTTACAGCTTGTACGACTTGCATGTCAAAACGTGCAGTCCTAATGTCCAAGTGAATAAGCGAGCACAAATAAAATTATCGGTATGATGATGAGATATGTGCAAAACTCTAAGACTTAAGTCGACTAGCTAAACACTTTGGCTTAACTGTTTGTAAAATCTTTTTTTGGGATAAGTACAATGTTAGGGTGTTAGTTCTATATTCTGAAAAGGTACCTTATGTCGAGTGTTATGTTGAGCGTTGCTCGATCGGCTCTTCAACATTGAGTCTCGTCGATCTAAGTCGGGGGTGATTACCTTATGGTGGCATTATTGATGAGCCTCGTTCTATTATTGCCATCCATGAGGGAGGGGTTGAAAGAGAGAGAGAGAGGAGCGAGCTCTTCTGCAGAGTAGTACACGTTTGCCAACTGCTTCTTTTCAATTTGTTCTGAAGCTTTGCGATCCTCAGTTCGATCTGAGACTATGGTAAACATAAGGAACTCGTTTTTTCTTAGAACCACTCTTTAAAATTAAGGGATACCCACTGCCGTAACATGTGACCGATCGTGTGTTTGTCGACGGACTTGTTTATCTTATAATGTCGTTATTTCGCTTCGCCAATGATATATGTATATATATTTTTTCTATTTGTTGTCAATAATGTTTGTGAAGGGCATTCATGACTTTCGGCGATCTCACTTTCATACTTTTCGTTCCAGTTTAGTTGAATAATTTCAGATCGAGAATGGTAATTCTGAGCACGAAACAACAGGAAGAGGCGAAGCAGGGCCTCTGGCTTCCACAGCTCGAACGTGACGGATGTGGAGTGGGCTTTGTCGTTTCCATCAAAGGAAATCGGACACATAAAGTACGGCTACCATTTCATTGTTCTCTTCTCTCTTGATAATGTCTTTTGTGAATTTAATTTCCCTATTGGTCTACATCAAACGCTGCTATTTATATAATCAACATTCTTCGCTTACCTAGTGAAGACTTATTTATGACATTACCAAAGATATTGTAACAAGCATTTCTAAGACTTTAAGGGACGTAAAGAAAGGTTAGTAAAGGAAGGTTGTTAAGGAAGTAAAGGTTGAGTTGTGTGCATACTATAAATTTAGCTTTTGATCAAAGGTGCGCCTACGAAAATTTGCTAGAGACCCTATGTGTGGACTTTGATCTAGTTGGTGTCCAAAAATATATATATGTAAAACCTTGTAGTTTGGATTGTCTTATTGGTCAAATCTCTTTGTAGTAAATTCTTTCTAATATTTCCTTAATCTTGAATTTAAAGTACACAGTTTAGAGGCGTACTACTTATAAAAGGCAAAAAGTAGACCTTTGTCCATGCATCGTTGTAAACAAAGGAAAAAAAGTCGAAGAAAGCTCTTTGAATGAATCCCATTTAAATCCAGTGCTTTAGATTGAGCATGTATTGTTCGGTCCTGTGCTTTAACCGGTGGCACGTTTGACTAAGCGCCGGCTTAACGCTGAAAGCGCGTGCCCTTTCCGAGGAAAACAACGTTGTAATGGGCTTGGTAACCTTGATTGGGAAGAACTGGAAAGGCACGTCCTCTGAACGGTTTTTAAGAATGTATCGAATTAAGAAAGACCTTTTAATTATTACGAAATATTAAAATAAAAATTTTCCCAAGTATTGTCGGTTATGAAGCGAGAGACTCCGTGATAGCTGATAGAGTGACGGCATTAGGTCTTTAGTTCCATTTCCTATTTTCCTTGGGTTGTTAGAAGTCTATCTTAAGCTTTTTTTTTGCAATATTTTCAATTTCGATTTTATTTAAGATCCTCTGCGAAGCACGTACGATGTTAGAACGAATGGCCCATCGTGGAGCATGTGCTTGTGACAATGATTCCGGTGATGGTGCAGGTGTCCTCACTGCCATTCCTGATCTGCTCTATAGGAAGTCCGTTAAAAAGTGAGTCAAAGTCTTAATGAGTTAACATTGTTTTTCATAAACTTCTTGGTCTATAAATCTATCTCTTTAAATGATAAACACCCTTTTGATACAAATTTCACACGGCGCCGTATCAAACGTTGGCCTTTACCCGAAATTTCCAAACGATAACAATTATCGCTAAACATGTTAGATATAGATAAGGAAAGTGATAAATATCATATATGTGATGCAGTGCGTATATATATATACATATATATACATATACATGTGTATATATAGGTATATATGTATGTATACGTGCATATGTATATATACATATGTATATGTATGTATTTCTCTGTGGGGTAATTCTAGACAATTATCTATCAATTCCCATAACCGACTTTCTGTTAACCTCGACATTGATTGGTAACTCACTGTTTTTCGTCGGTGAGCAAACATGAGGTTGATGTTATAGAATTTATTAGCACACAATAGCTATTAGCTGACATTTCGGCGGTTTCACCTTCTTCAGAGCCTGGAAAGGTCAAATTGACATACAATCTACTAAGGAAAACACTTTCAGAGCCCAAACAGATAAATTTCATCCTTCTAGGAAACAGCTTAAGTTTTAACTGCTGAGATTATGAAAAGTGTTTGGCCGTGTAGACTACATATGGATTTGACCTTTCCAGGCTCTGAAAAAGGCGAAACCGCCGACACGTCAAAATTCTGTAATATTAACCTCGTGTTTGCTTATCGAAGAGAAACAATGAATTATCTCGCAATTCGTAGTAGTATTTTCTTTCTCACGTGTCCTATTTTTAGTTTTACTGAATATGGGACCTACGCCTGTAGCGCAGAGCTCGGAGCCGCTCTGCGATACATATGGAATCGAACCCCGCGTCACAGGCTCACTAAGCCCTCCATTCTTCCGAAGTCTGCAAATTGGTACCAGACTTGTTTGGGAAGACAGCAGCACTAGCTCAGTACATCAGTAGGCTATGCGAGTCATTCTAAAGGCCAGATATGCATTCAGTCACCTCCAACGATGCTAAATGGAGTCAAATGCATGGCGCATCCCTCAGAGATTGATAAACGCCGAGATCTTTACCTCTTATCCTTTTTTTTTCACAGAATTTGAAAATCTTACGTGTTTATTTTTGAAAGCGTACTCTACTGGTCCATAGGATTTTGTTACTTTCAGTGTTTGTTTAAGGCATCATGGTACTTTACAATGTGGAATTTCGTGTTAAGAAATAGAGATGTTCAACCTGCTGTTATATAGTGTTTCGTACTGAAGCATAAGATGTGAATTAATATTATATGGATGGGTTGCTAGCTTTGCGAGGCCGCAGCTCGTTACAATAACCCCAACACATGGTCGTTTCTGTTTATGTTTCCGTTCCTAGGTGGTAATATAGCGATCTGCAAAAGCTTGAATTGTTCATGCGCTCTTGGAAGAGACTTTGTGGGGCTGTAATAGTCCCTGTGAACTCATAAGTAGTATATCCATGAAGTTCTGTGTCTAGTATATGTGTACATTAGTAATAAAAGGAAAGGATAATGCTCTCGACGTTGATCAATCTCTGAGGGATGTGGCATGCATTCGACTTCATTAAGCGTAGTTGGAAGTGATGGAATGCATATCTGGCCTTTACAATGTTTCGCGGTGGCCTGCCGATATATCGAGCCAGTGCTGCTATCCTCCGAGAGAAGTTCGCTACCAATTTACCGACTCCACTGGAATGGGAGGCTCGGTGAGCTTGGGGCGCGGAGATCGATCCCATATGTATTGCAGGGCGCATCCAACCATTGCTCTACACGGGCCTTCTGCATGAGTAATAGCGTAGGAATTTCATCTTCTAGCATTTTATTAGATGTCCATTACGTACACAATTTGTCAGTCAATAATTTGAGTTTGAAAGTTGTTTTAACTTCTCATGAAATTCTAAATGCTCAAGTATTACGACCTTAATCGTCGAACCTGATGTGTTCTGATAAGCTAACAGCTCAAAACCTCCGACATAGGGTTTTTAACAAGAATAGAATTGAAACAGCCTTTTTTTCTATTGTTATTTCTGGCATGTTCAGACAAGATGGAATCGATTTACCACCGCCTGGGCAATATGCAACTGGCATTTTGTTCTTGAACGAAGATTCTTATAAACAAGCGAAAGTAAGTAATCTAGTTAAGTTATGTTTGGCTTGTGTTCAGAAGAAGGTGTACGTTTTCTCGAATAGATTTCACTTCTTCTAGGATTCGCTTTTTTGGTAACGCGGTCTTCACAACTTAAGGGATTTTATGTTTTTCGTAGCGTTAAGGTGAATGTGGTTATTGTAACAGTTTAACATCCAAAGCTGTGGTGAATCACATGTTTATTACGTCATAAAATTATTTAGCCAATAGGCTCATCTTGGAAATTGTTGCTTATATATATATATATATACATATATATATACATATGGTCAAAATACTTATTGGAAAATCACAATAGTCTTATGTTGACCTGTTAATATCGTAGTAACTCAATGTCATTAGCGTGTGGTTCTCTCACTCATACCGATGACATCCAAATCTGATAGTAACAGCAAAGTTACGATAAAAGCGCTGGAACTTTGCGTCGACTTATCCATTCCATTGTATAAGTTTATGCTAAGCTATGGATATATACTTTGATACATGGTTATTCCGCCTTAACCAGTACTATGAGCCTAACCTATCTTCCATTTGTGTCTTTCTCATGCTATCTTCGTCCATGGTGGTGGTCTGTTTCGAACATGAGAATGTCCGCAAAGCCCATGCTGTGAGCCATGAACCATTTTCCTTTATGAATGCAGATGGTTAGCATAACCCACGAACAGGTCCTCGCATTTTGCAGGTAATCTTCTGATACCGTCTTGGATTGCAATGCACTGTTTTTTTCCACTTACCTAAGTTTCGTATCAAATGACTGATCCACGTGTGTTTTGCTACCAACGTGTATTCTCTTATCTCGAGGATGGGACAGACTTTGTAAATCTAAGCCTCGCATTCCGGTTAGACGTTGCAAGTGCAGGTTAAATTCAAGGCGACATCATTCCAGCGTTCTCTGAGTGACGCGTAGTGTTTTCCACGTTTTGAACTATCAATACAAGCCTCCGTTGCATAACAGAGTGCTGGAAGTAATCTTGAATCGAAGAAGTGAGCGCGGAGATTCGGGCACGTTTGCTGCTCGATGGCTTTTCTGAGAAGCCCGAACTCATTTAGCATAATCCCAGTAATCCCAGCCTCACACGTACTCCTAGAATCAATGAATCAATGAAGAAATCTGACAGAAATTTGACATTAATCGGTATGTCCTTCTAGTGCCCATCGAGTGACTTCATTTCCTACTGCGGTGCACTAAACAGTACAGGCTAAAATATATCGCTGTACGAATCCTAATTTTCTACGTGGATAGTAGGATGTTGATACACAAAGTATATTTTTTGTGCTGTAACTGCAATAAATCGTCAAGTGCTCTTATTGAACGGATTCGGTTGCATTTTTTCCGAACTGTCAAACATTCATGATTGGCAAAGGCTGATACAACTGGCAACTAGTGCTCCCAACATACTTCTTTAAGGTGGGATGCAGTTTCTATGTGCTCCGTGCATCAAATTCCTGTTGAATTCTTGCTTGAACAATTAGATGCATTCGCGCCTCATTCGAAATATCACGAGGTTCTCCACTATCATCGATCCTTTCGTTTTGAGGGTAAGATGACAACGAAAAAGATAGGAAAGAAAAGGTCTTCATCAGTTCCACGTATTAGAAAGACGTGGTAATAATCATGCATTTGTTCATTAGAGCTAATAGTCGAACGATGCAATAGCACAGTTTCCAACAGTATGACTTAATACTTGAGACTTTTGGACTGCTGTCAACAGTTTTCTGCCACTTCCACATTAGATGTGTTGCGGTAGGATAAAATTCCAATTTCTTTTCTTCTAAAGTAACACAGTACTGTTAATTGGGATGCTATTCGAATTTCTTAGTTGAAGAACTGAGGTAAATGTGGGACAAGCCCTTAGTCCTTCGATAAGTAACTCGCAGTCTTCGATAGGATTATCATTAATCAAGCAGCTATGTATGCGTGGGGTTTTATTCAGAATGTTCTCGTGGTATCCAACTTCTTCTTCTTAGGTGATAACAAGAAATTCTTATGCACTTACGACTACATCGAATCTTCGCACAAAGAAAGTATTGACTGGATTCAGTACAAGATGATAAAACTACGTAGTGTAAAGCAAACCCCGTTTTACGTTTGTGGGGATGTGATCGATCTCTGTACGTGTCCTACCGTTAAATGATCCTCGTTTCCAACAGTTACTTTCCTTCTTCTGAAAAAATGGATTTCGATGTAATAGGCGTAGCATAGACGCTAATCCAGGAAAACGGTTCTCATTCTGATTTCAATCCCATATTCCAGATTCTCGAATTGCGTTTTTGCTAATTTTCATTGCCTTTTTCTAATCTGACGATAAAATCACCATGAGCGAATTTATTGGGCTTCTCATTGCGGAGTGCCGCTTGCAGCTGATTAAGGGCGCATTTAGTTCGTTCTCATTCGCTGCACAACTTTGCAGCAGTTGATGATATTGATCTTGTTTTGGCGTTGAGATTGGAGACGAAAAATCGCCTAACAATGTGATATGATCTCGGATGAGAAGATATGATGGTTAACTGATGGGTGTGCGAAAATGCCCGCACCACCGAGATTTCGCAACCAAATTTTTTTTTGTCCTCCCTCTTTTGTCTTTTATGGAGTGATCGCATGGAATTCGGTGCTGTCATCGACCTAAAGGTGAGCGTCTTAGAAGACTATTCTGGTGGTGCAGAGCAAGAAACAATTTCCGTGGTCTAACATGGGTGTGCTGGATTGATGTCCATTGATGTCCTCCGTATCACTGACTGGGCTGTTTGTGTGGTTTCCTGGATGCTGAGGCGTTCGAATCTGGATTTTCACCCATGTCGTTGCCAAATGCAGTCGCTGGCCATTATGGATCCAAGAGAGCAAAATTTAACACCTTAAGACTAGTTTGGTGCCAGGTTTGAAGTGATTTTTGGTAGTACTTTAATTACAGCGAGACATCCTAAATTTTAACTTTCGCCTATTGCCTGCGACAACCCTTAAGAGATGGACGTCGTTTGCAATTTTTAATACTTTGATACGGATATGTACCAGCTCATAATTCTGTTTCTTAAACGGCATAGTTTAGGTATTAACTTATTAACTATTAACTTAACGTATTAATTAACTATTAATTAATTTATTAACTAACTTAACTTTATAATGTATTGTTCGTGTTTTCTATGAATATTTTTTAACTTTTTTTCCTCAAATTTAAACAATCTAGGAATTTCAGAAAGGAACAGAAAAAGACGTTTCGTTCTCAAATCTTCAAAAACTTGAATCTCAATCAGAATTGAGATCAAAATAGCTTTTTATGATTCATAGCATTGGGTAAAAAACCAAAGCGTTTTGTTTAAGTGCGCCAAATTTGAACTGCTCAGCTTACCAGTTATTGGGAAATACGAGGGATTCTATATGGATTCGCATTCGTTGGTATGTACTAAAGAATTTATCGAAGCAGTTTTTTTTCAGGAAGCGTTTGGAGATTTGGCAAGAGCTTGCAATGTGAGGGTGATCATCTGGCGAAAGTTGAACACCAATCGAAATGTTCTGGGCGTAGAGGCAAAGAAGACCGAGCCACTCATCAGACAGGTGTGTTATTGTGCGCTTCGTTTCCATTTTCAGTGAACTTTCTCGATTTGCCGTCACCGACAGTTCATTGTTGTAAACTACGATGGTCTTAGCCTATACATCATGACGAGAAGACGTTCTTTTCTTTTTATCGAGAAATAGGCTGAAACCTTCGAATGGTTTGATTTTCTCGAAACTGTACAGTTGAGTAGAGTTAAAAGATATTATTGATAAACCACTATCGAAAACAAAAACGCGTTAAGATTCATGGGACTACGAAGGTACCGTGCATCGTGTTATGCTCACACGTGTTTCCGCTTTTTGTAGACATGAAGATCACCGCTCGCAAAGCGTGGTTACCATTTCCTTTTGAGTTTTAATATTGAAAAAAACGCGTTCCGTTTTTTCTTTGTTTGTTTGATATTCTGTGACCAACGGAGACGGCTTCAGAGTTCAAAAAAAAACGGGAGAGGAGGGAGCTAGAGCGATCCAATTATGACTGAAGTGACCACTTTTTATGGCTATTACGTGCCCCAAGGTTTTTTAGTGGGGTTATCCGAAGCGATTCATTTAGAGTTTACGACATAGTCTGTGTAGTCATTTTAAGGATGTGGTGTACCTGTTTCATCTCTGCAGAGTTCGTAGGAAGTGTGCAACGTTTCAGTCGTGATCACGTGAAAAGAAAATGTTTTACGAGAATGAGAGAAAGCTATCCTAATTTTTTGTTGATATAGATTGCCTATTGGGCGCGTATGGGGCAGTGGTCGGAGGCGCTCTACAACACACGTGGAATCGATTCCAGCGCCCATGGCCCACCGAGCCTTCCATCCCTCCTGGGTCGGCAAATTGGTAGCGACTTGTCTGGGAGGATAGCAGCACTGGCTTGACACATCGGTAGGCCACTGCGAGTCATTGTAAAGGCCGGATATGCATTCAGTGACCTCCAAACGATGCTTAATGAAGTCGAATGCATGGCGCATCCCTCAGGGATTGACCAACGCCGAGAGCTTTATCCTTTTTTTACTTATATATTTTCTAAGTTTTTTATAACGACAAGTTTTCTTAGAGTGTTTGCTTTAATTTGCTTATACTACGCAGCTTTAGCGTTCTTACTGGTATGGGATTGTGTCGACTGCTTGATCTGGTGAAGCTGCGTCAACAAATGCTACGCTTTGATTGTTTTTTCCTAACCTTCTGAGACCTCTTCGATTTGTGGATGAAACACTATTACCATATGGGCAGTTTCTACAATAACAACTTTTAATACTTTTACAGTCTTACCATAGTGGTTCCTAATGTTAGTGATGCGAATCGCGAAATTGAGCATGAGTGCGGTAAATGCTTTTTTTATATCACTTCATAAATGATTATAAGTGTTTTCGCCTTACCTGTGAAATGATAAGCTTATGGAGTTGCTCCTCTTTGCGGAATATTAATTTCTGAACTAAAGGTTTTAAACCTTTAGGGATACCTAGGAATATTTTTTTATTCTATGCATGGCTGAGATTCTTTTGACTGGTCTGAGAAAGGTAATGAATAAAACAGATCAAGTTGTAATAAATTAAATAGGAAGTGGTTCATCAGCATTTTCATAAACGTTTGCAGCATTTCGATTCTAATTGTTTTTTCTTGCTCAAAACTATTAGAACTTAAGTGAGATTCCAATACCCTTTGCCGGTTATTGTCATAGTTATTGATAGTAAGCAACACTCTATGGAGAATATTAGGACTGTGTTATTAATTTGTTAAGTAACTTTTTTGTACCCATTTTGAGATAACAATGCTAATACGTTCTAATTCGACCACAATCCGAGCTCACTAAATCTCTCATCACTTTGTGGTTGGAAAATTAGTACAAAACCTGTCTGAGCCTTACTCTTTGATACTTTACTTTAATACCTTAATGGCTCATCTTCACTGGTTGCGTGGGCCTCAGAGCACAAACTCTATTTTTTTTCGGACTTATGCTGGTTTAGCCATTGTGGATTCCTCGAGTCCTGAGGTCAGCTAGGTCAAGGTCTGCTCCAGTTCGTCACCACCACAGGCAGTCGCAGCCTTGTGGATCAGAGGGAGATTTATCACCATACCTACTAGCTTGGTACCAGAAGGGTGGTCGGTTGTGGTATTAGTTCACTCTTAACTAGGCTTTCTGATGGAGAAGCCGGACGGACTCCTTCTCAGCACAGGAAACCCTGCCGGGGAATAAGTCCCCCCACTGTATATCGCAGCCCGACACCCAGGAACACTTACCAACCACGATGAGGCGGTTAACTGTTGGGAGTGAACTTAACTCATTCCTTCAAATCCACACAAGAGTGCAATGGTATAACTATCCCAGGATTCGAGTTGAAATCAACCCCACCAAAATTCAGTGACATTCATAAAGACCACAATTCTCATTCAGCGACCTAATCCACACGTGAAAAGTTCGGAGGCCTTCGTGGATAATTGATGCGAGGAAACGAATAAGCTGCGTGAAGTGCTCTGAGCCGTACATAAGATGTGAAGATAGGTCATGTTAGAATAATATTATGCATTCTGAAGTAACCACATGCAAAATCTTTATTTCTGGATGTGCGGAAAGTTTTCTATAATGCGGTTTAGTTCGTGCTATGTCGGTATCCATTTAACCTTATTCATAACTGCTGTTTTGGACGGAATGGGTAATTCTTCTTGTGGTGAAAATCCATTGTGTACGATCGTTAACAAAGTGTGATGAAACGGTGAGCACTGGAACGAGCGCAGGACTGCTAAGTGCAGATATCATCGAATTCCCACGATCGACTTCCTGTTAACATCGGCATTGTTCAAACAATTCTTTGTATTCTTCTTAGGCAACAGGAGGTGTTGTTTTATTCTTTACTAACGGAAGAGCTAACGTTTTTGCCGATTTCGCCTTCGTCGGAGCCTTGAAAGGTCAAGTTGACTGCAATCTATCCAGCCAAACACTTCCATAGGCAAACAGAAAATGCTAAACGAGAATTTCAACCACATTGAACACAGAGTGGCTTCTTTGCACACTCACCGCTTTCTATGAGTCTTTCTATCACTCTTTATCTTTGAGTCTGTGAGTTTCTATTGTTTGTCTGGGTAGATCGCCGTCAACTTGACCTTTCCGGGCTCTACGGAAGGCGAGATCCCCGAAGCATCAGCTTTTATGTAAATAAAAAAATAAAATAACACTTCATGTTTGCCTAACAAGAGTATAAAGAATTATCATTTCGTTATTTCCTTCAAAAAGTTTAAGAGATGAGCGCCTAGGAAGCATATAATATCTCGTTGATTACAGAAAGGAAATTTAAAATTTCACTGCTACTGGCGTTAAATTTTTTGCTTTTCAAGTTATTGTTTAACTTTTTTTTATTCCATATTAGTGCGTTATGCGTAAGTTTGTAGGAGTTAGTAATTTGCTGGCAAAATCGTGCTATTTTTCGCTTACGTGACTTCTCCTCTTTCTTAAAACATTCGAACTAAATAATTATTTCAGGTGTTCGTCACTGCTGGTTACGTTGCTGAGGATCCACAGCGTTTTGAGCGTAATATTTACTTACTACGTAAACAGGCTGTAAATAACATGGCAAAACAAAGTGTAGACTGTTATATATGTTCACTGAGTACAACAACTATAGTCTATAAGGTTAGTCTGACCATTCATTATTCTTTTCTTATCTAAACAGCTATATTTATCTTTAACTAAACTGGGGTTCTGCAGCATGTATAGAATTTTTTCTTCTTCGGTAACCAATCATCTGTGGTATATACTAGGATCCTGACCTGTCTCTTAATGGAACATCCGCAATACGAAAGATATTATAAGAAATATAAAGCTTTTTGATCGATGCCAATGTTGACATGATATCCATCTTTGGCACAGTCGCCTCTAAACTGATATTTCATCAGTTCTTCAAATTTCTTGCAAGTTGTAATAATAGAGTTAGTTGATCAAGGTAACTCTCACTTTGTCGCTCCACAGAGCAGTATTTTCTTTTATGACCAAACGTTTCTGTCAGTGTGGTGGTAAATAATGCCGTTAGCCTGCGATTAGCTCAATAATGTGGTAAAAGCATCGAATGCCTTCTCAGTTTGATAAGTATGTTTGGTTGCGTAACCCTCTGTTGTGTGTTATCCTTGGACATCGAATGATATACTAATACGCTGCGTTGTGACCTTAAAAGTATAGAAGAGAGTGATTGATAGTGTAAGTAACAGGTGGCCAAATTTGAAAGAGCGTCATTTTTTTCTGAGAAATCGTTGCACTAAACAGTTTGCTTTTTATACTGAACCCAAGATTTGTTTGAAGAAGGTGGTACGATTGCAGATTTTCATTTCAGGGGCAGTTTAATACTCACCAGCTTTACAAATACTACGATGATTTGCGAGATCCCGACTTTATCACTCACATTGCTCTCGTTCACTCACGTTTCTCGACTAACACGTTCCCTAGCTGGAATCGAGCTCAACCCAACAGGTGTGCACTGTTATTATTGTTCTGTCACTTTTCCATTATTTGGGAAAATTTTGGGTAAGTAGATATTTGGAATAGGTACTAGTTGTATGTCTTATTGCTTCAGGTTGTGTTGCTGATTGGAATGTTTCAAAGATAACAAAAATGAACGGGTTTTCTCTAATGTATCTGCTTGTCATGAGGTAATGGAATGGGAGTTAGGGGTAACAGTTCTTTTTGCTGTCATTTCAAGACTTGTAATGTTTAAAGTGAGACAAACATAACTTTTTTATTCTGAGCGGTTTTCATTTTTCGTTGTAGAACATCGCTTCGTTTAAAGTGGGAAAGTTGTCTTTCGTATGAACTCGGTGAGAGTTCTTCGATTAGTTTTCTTGACACTGGTTAGTCTAAATATTCAAATCTTCGTACCTAAGCAAGCGATACCAGAAAATTTTGTGACAGAAGTTTATTCGTCAATCAGTTTTCCTCACTAAGAAGAGGACTTTGCACCGAAACATTAAAATGTGATTTCATCGATGGCAATGTTTAGTGAATTTCCAGCCACAACTTTAAATATTTAAATATTAACTGTTAGTGTTAGCTATCCCAACGACTAGCCTATCCTCCCAACGGTTTACCGCATCACCGTGGCTGGGTGGTGTTCCTAAGTGTCGGACTGCGATATACAGCGGTGGAATTCTTCCTCCTGTTATGGTCTACCAAGTTGAGAAGGAGTCTGGCGTTTGCATCAGGAAGCCTAGCTAAGAGCAAACCAATACCAGGTTCCACCACCGTCTTGGTATGAAAGTCGCACGGTGGTAAATCTCCCTCTGATCCACAAGGGCTGCGACTGCCTGTGATGGTGAAGACTTGGAGCAGACTTTGGCCAGGCTGTCCTCGACACTCCAGGGAATCAAAATGGCTGAACCAGCAAATCTCTGAAAAATGAGGATTATGCTGGGGCTCGCACAACCAGTGAGGACGGGCCGTTCAAGTGTCAAGTGTTAGCTATAATTTCAAATTGCTTTTCAAATGTTGTGCCTGCAATGGCGGGTTTGGATATACCAAAAAATTGTCTTGACGACATCGTTCTACTTCAGTTTTCGTTGTTTTGAAACCGTCATCACACACCATTTTCATCATTGTTTGTTATTTTTCAATGCCCTTACAACGGTTTACCGGCCTCATTGTGGCTAGGAGGTGTTCCTGGACGTGGGGCTGCAATGTACAGCAGGGGATTCATACAGCTGGCAGGGTCTCCCAAGTTGAGGAGTCCAGCGTTTCCATCACAAAGCCCAGCTACGAGTAAACCAATACCAGGATCTGCCACCGTTCTGGTAGTAAACTAGCCGTTTGGTAACAAATCTCGTTTTGATCCAACACGGCAGCGACTACCTGTGGTGGTGACGACCTGGGGCAGACATTGGCCTGGCCGACCTCGGGACGCCAGGGAACCACAATGGCTAAATTAACAAAACTCTAAAGAAATGGAGATTATGCCGGGGCCCCAACAACGAGTGAGGACGGGTCGTCCAAGTACCCAAGTAAGTAATTATTGTTGGAGATGCATGTAGCAGAGAAGTTAAAGGTGCCTGCAGTTAACACGTTGTTGTTGGTCCAATTACGTACCTTGGTTCAACCTAGCTCCCATTTTCTCTGTGAGGTTGAAAAGACTACCTTGTTACGTCTATATGTCATCGCAAATCATTGTATAGGTCAGATATTTATTCAATCACGCGATGCTTAGTAAAGTCGTCGGCATGACGTATTCTTTAACGACTGATCAACGCAAAACACTTTATTTTCTTTAATCTTTTTGGTATTATTAAGTGAAATCAAGTGAGAGTGTTTTATTGTTTTCTTTAGAAGTTTAAGAAAGTTGAATTCGTTTGAGGAGGTAGTTCTGTAATTGAAAATCTTTTCTTCTTCGCATATTTCAGATTTTGTTCAGCCGTAAATCACGTCTAACTCTAGGTTAGGCTTTCGTGGGAAGCTTCTTGAGAATTTACGCGATATGAAAGAGATCTTTGAGTAGTCTACATATGTAAGGAATATTGAGACAGAGCGCCTTAGCCGCATCAATGCCCATATGCAATCCATTTGGAGCAGAAATATTGACCACTTTTCAATTTTAAGCCAACATATCTGAACTACTGTTAGATTTTAGTTAGTTGGAATAGAACCTATTATGATTCAAACATCTTTGCCTATAAGACGTTAGTTATCTTGTTCTATGACATTGAAATTCTTATTTCCCGGAACCTACCCTTATTTGTTTCGCTATTTCTTTCAAACACGTATATTTTGAACATAAAGGCGATCGAAAAAGCGGAGTTTCCACCACCAAGAAAAATCACTCATGTTTGTAGACATTATAGTTGCGTTGGAACCTTTTAAGAAATTAGATAAAAGGGATAAAGAATAAAGCTCTTGGCGTTGATCAAACCCTGAGGGATGTGCCAAGCATTCGACTTCATTAAGCATCGCTGGAGGTGATTGGACACATACCTAGCTTTTGCAATGACCCACGGTGGCCTACCTCTATATCGAGTCAGTGCTGCTATGCTCCCAGACAAGTCTAACATCAATTTGCCGGCTCCGGAGGGATGGAAGGCTTGGTAAACCCGCGGCACGGGGATCGATCTCGTGTGTATTGCAGGGCGCTTCCGATGCTACAGAACTTAAATGCCGTTATAAATGTTTTAAGTAATTTCGCTTCTAAAATTGTTAAAATTAGATGAATACTGTGTGGAAAACTGTATATAAGGTTGCATTCTCAAAAACTTTAACGATGGCCAAGTTATTGTCTGTTATCGAAAAGCCAAAATGAGGCGTTATCTGTGAATGTATTAAAATCGGCTTAATAAAGGTAACGAATTGCAGTGTTTTAATTTCAAGTAACTGAACCGAATACGAAGCCCATGTAATTGTTTTTAACCAACATTTCTCAAAGGAAACGAAGTAACGTGTGTTCTTCAAAGGTTTTGTCATTGTTTTGAGAGGGAGACATCGCATAGTAGTTCTTTTCACAATAAAATTTCTTTATTATCGCCTTATCATGGTAAGAGAAAGTGAATGTCGGATTCCGATGTAGATGATCGCCATGGAAGGCCATCCAATTTGAGGCTTCGGATGCATTTTCATCTGGACGTTCAGCTAAAATCATGCTTTTGGAAGTTCTTATCGTTGTCCTTGAAAAAATCCAAAGACGACACGGTGATATGCCTCTGTTATGATTCATAAATATGCGTTTGCTTGTAGTTAGGGCAATGGAGAAGCCCTGGTGCGAGTCCCCCGGTAAAGCTAATGCTTTCATGCTCTAGTGAAGTAAATCCCACCAGACCCATAATTTACGTTTAGAATAGGAATCATGCCAAGAGTTTACTACTATAATTATTAATTCTATGATTTTTTTATATACGAGGTGATATTTTTTTCGCTTCAGAATGGTTGCACATAATGGTGAAATCAACACTCTACGGGGAAATACTAATTTAATGCGAGCTCGTGAAGGTGTGATGTCTAGCAAGCTGTACAAAGACGATTTGAGCAAGCTTTATCCAGTAGTAGAAGAGGTGAGCTCAGATAATCCTTTCCCAGCCCGTTTTGTTGTTTTTTTGTAGTTGTATTTTTTGTATTCTGTTTGTGTTATATATTATTATATATCGTCATATTTATATTTTGTCATATTTTTTCGCAGAAGAGTGCGCTAAGTTCTGTCAAGGTTCTATTCTTGATTAGGAACTATAGGGGAATTTCAGATGGCTCACTTTGTCAATCGGAAAATGGCTGAAGAGGCCTTTGACTATATCTGATACTTTGCTCTTTCATGCCGTTTTTTCTTTTCCCAAATTAACATGGCTTTCGTGGTGATTATAATGTATTAACCATTGGAAATATTATGGATGATTTCCAGCGTTGAGAAACCTTTCCGAAGTTCTCATATTCAGGGTCTCACTGACTCGGGATGTTTTGATAATGTATGCGAATTCTTAGTGAAAGTAGGGCAACGGTCATTGCCCGAAGCCGCCATGACTATGGTACCAGAGGCGTGGGAAAAGGATGAGGTTAGGAGTGTTTTCTTGGAGATTTTACGTCTTCTCTAAATTTTTGATCATATGTTGTTGTGCCTCTGTGTCTAAAACATCCAAGACACTTGTAGCATGTTCTAGGAAATGGACCAAGAGAAGAAAGCGTTCTATCGTTGGGCAGCCATGACCATGGAACCATGGGATGGGCCTGGTATGTTCGTGCTAGTTATACTCTGGCAAAAAACTTAGTTTAGCTTTTGTTGTTAGCCCTAATATTATTCTGTGTAACCGGAATAAAGATAATTGACGAGAAATTCTATAAAGACTCCGAGAATTCGTGGGAGCCCATCAATCTCATTGCGAGGTTTGTTGAACACATTGCAATTTTCGAATTCAAGCTTTCCAAAATTGTACCATGGACTCTATCACATTGAAGCTCGCATTCATAAAAACTTAGCTTTTTGAGTTCGTACTAGATCATATGCGTTTATGAATAAGTTATATAGTCGGGGATCGAATTTCCCACATTTGAGTGACGGAATTGATGATTTTATTGGACTCTGGAAAAAGTAATGATGAGCTTCATTCCTCTTTAAGCATATTTAACACACCTTAAACATAACACATGAAAAATATGAGTAAGTTTTCAGTCGGATTGTTTAACAGTGGCCAAAGTTGGTTTTTTGCAAATTGCTGTTCTTTTCTTGATAGTTAGAATATTTGATAAGTCGAAAATGTGACCGAATGATTAAATAGACTCTCTGTCTATTTAAGAGTAAGTATGGTCGTTTAATATTGTCATTTGATTTTTGAAGTTACTTGTAATTAAAGGTTCCAAAAAGAAAGGAAACGAAGTGTGAATTTTTAGCAGAACCGGATGAAATTCCGTCGGCCAGAGACATTAACAACGCATTTGTGGACATCATCGTATTGCAGTGGACGAAATATCCCTTTTCAATTGTTTTCGTTTTCGAAATACGAGTCTGGACAAGAAAAAGTGCACAAAACATGCTTAGCGGGTTCCAGAAAATCATAATTCTATCGTTGTAAAACAAAAAAGTGCTTTAGTCCTGTAAGCAGAAATTGGAAGATTCTAATAGTTTCATTTTTTTTCTAAATTTAGGAAGAATTTCACTGTGGGCAGAAATATCTTCGTTTAAAGTTGAAAGCGGTCGTTATTTTTGTACTGTATGAGTGGAAATCAATTCACATCGTTCCTTAAATGTTAGCGAGATATTAGATAAGTGTTTGTTGGAACGTTGGGTCGGATTACTATTTTTGCCGACAACATTCACCCATTAGTATCTGTAAATAATTGCGCATTTCGGCCTTAAACAAACATATCTCAGCTGGTCATAAGCTTATTTGACTGGAATAAATATGTACAATGTGCAAATTTTTGCCAACAAAATGCAATTATTACTAGTGTGAACTGGGAAAGCTTTGGTGTTTTGTAGGCTATAGGGTTTGTTTTTTCTGTCTTCTTTTGTGCTGATCATTTCGTTATCATCTCAATTTTTTTCAAAATTTTGATTTCAAGTAATTTTGAGGCTAAAGAACATTTTTAAGAAGCCATTTATCCCCTTAGAGCGGTAAAAGAGTACGTGTTTCTTCAGTTATCGTTGTTCTATGGATAAGTATCGGAAAAAAGGAGCATTGCTTGTTAGATATAGATAGTTTTTCTTTCGTCAGCAAAAATCTGAGGATTGAGAAATAGATGATATTGGCTACTTTGGTGAAACTGCTGTCTTTGGTGAAAAAACTTTGGTGAAACTGAAACTGTGAAAATATCGTGCTATTTCACAGATTTTATTGATAGTTGAGTTAAATGTTATACGTTTATATTTTTTCACCTGCTACTTTCTTTCTACGACTGCAAGCAGTACCTTCATAGTATAGAATTTCAGCACTGCTTGCATTCTGTGATGGTCGTTATGTTGGGGCTATTCTGGATCGTAACGGTCTCCGTCCAGCTCGTTATTACTTAACCGCTGATGATCATCTCTATTTATCCTCTGAAGTCGGTGTCAACGATCATGATGAAGAGTCAGTTGTAAAGAAGGTCAGCACACTATTCAACTTTATTCACACACACCATAGACATAGAAAAAAAAGCCGAATATTGTTTACGATTAGAGAACTGAGTATGAGTCCTAGAGTTTTGTAACAGTGATTAATTAGTTTCTGTTTTGGTTGTTTGCAAATTAAGAGACTTTTTCGTCGGCTCAACACCTCTGTGTTGGAATTAAGTAGATGGTTATGTGTCACACAGCATTGGCATCTAGAGCGCTTGATAAGCTGAAATTTGTTAAATTTCCTTCCAAAATTTAGAGGAGAAGAACTAAGTAGAAAACATACAAAATGCATCCTGACATGTGCTTACTAGTGGGCTTCACTAATTGCAACCATTAGTCTCACCTCGCACAAAACATTAGCACTTACGATTTGTTCCTCCATTTTCTCATGACTGCCCATTCAAATAGTGGATCAGTTTTTCTAATAATACTGCGTATTTTTTCCCTACATTTAATAGGAAGTACTAAGGAGATTTACAGAAGTAAGAACTGAGCTACGTTTTTTCGGAGGTATTGTTGGAAAAGATTTCGACACATTTTCTTTTAATAGGGTTTGATCAGATATATAAGGGAACGTGGAGCCGAGCAAGATTCCCTTTATCTTCCATATTACTTCCAATTCCTGGCTAAGAATTCTTGTTAGACGTACCTGCGAAGATCTACTCGGTAGTAGTCAGGGAGTGGGACGAAAGCATATGGCACCGTATTGGTCGCTCGTTTGCCGAACCGCATTAGAATACGATTCGGTGCTGACGAGGTATACAGGACGGTGAATAGAAGGATGCAGAAAATAGTAAGGAATGTGCGCGCTGACATCATAATACCTGAAATAGAAAGTGAACTTCATGAAGAGTGCTTGAATGTTGGTAATTGCGCGATAACATTAAATAATTGCGTGTTTCTGTATTGAGGTTAACACGAAAAACTTTACTTTTTCTATTCCCTGTATGAGAATAAATTGGATATGGTAATGGCACTAATAACTAACAATAGTAAAGAGGCAAGAGACAACCCATATTTGGCATGTTGTAAACGTAAAGTCCTCTAAGGAAGTAATAAAAGCAGTTGAAACTAAGATGACAGTGGTGACTTTATTCAGACAACTAGTTATAAGCTTAATTAAGTAGTTTGAGGGTAATTTCCACAAACGCTTAAATGATTTGGAGATGATTTCCCGAAAAATCGTGTCTCTGTGTTGTTTGCTGCAAGTAGCAATTTTTTGGAATTCAAAGACGTTGAGGTTTCTTGGAACTAAACAGGAGTGAACAACACAAAACGTTGGAAGCTGATCTAATATACACGGAGAACATAACGGAAAAGTCTCCCAACTAACTACGTTTGCCAGAAAATTTTATTAAAGAATGCGGTGTCCGATGAGCAAACAATGTTATTTGAGATATCGTCTGTGTTAAAGAGAATTGGAATGGTGGTCTCTACGAATCTGGGCTTCATACATGTCTTGTCTGAAAAGCTGAAATGCAAGGAATGGTCTCGGAGAGCACTGTATAATGTCAAAGCGTGAGGATTTATATGCGTACGTGCGAATGTGGATGCAATTATTTGCAGCGTAGGTACCGCCTCCCAGCGAAAAGTTTACGGTATTTTGATTCCTGAAAGATTCATTATAGTACTGTATGTGATGTGACAATTTGAATGATCAGCTTACCTTATCGCTTCTTCAACTTCCTTATTCTACCTTTTTCTGTCTGAGGTGACATGCTGATTTCGCCTACCACAATTTGCTTCTCGAGGCTTTTAGCATCAGAATGTGAAATTCAAAGAGGAGAATCGTCTTCTTTTTCTTGGTAGCAAATCGATGCAAATGGTATTTTTGTTCGGATTCATAGAGGAAGATCACTTGGGTTATAAGGAAACTTGTTGGATAGGCGACGAAGTTTTTTAGCGGGTCAGCTATCGCTTAAAATATCCACTACAAAGCATACATATGTTACCAGGATTGTGTAATTGCGTCTATATCTCCTTCTTTGCATTTAGCATTTGGATATCAATACGAAGGTTATTACTGGATGTCACTGCGCAACAAATTTGTTCCAGTGATAATTTGAAGGCGACACACATGGGTCTCTAACATAGTAAGATAATTGTCATACGTCTTGTTAGTATTGAGATTTTGCTCAATGGCTACGAAACAAAAGAGGAAAGTTGGAAGCGCTGGCGGGGTTTTATTTGCGATCTTCACTATGTGAATGACCGCTGGCGTCCATTCCAGCCTTTCTTGAATTGCGTGACGCTTGCTGTAGAAATGTGGCATAGTATCGTTGTATCGTTGGCTCCCGCTGAATAAACTTTTTCAAAGTTGGGATATCAAGAACAGTATTAATAGACAATAATGGGTGTTTGTTATTTTGAAAAGCGGAATGGTGTAGTTTAAGCTTTAAGCGTAATTCGAAACGCTGTAAGCACATATTTTCCATAGTAAACACATAATGTGTGATATTGAAAAGGTGAGAAAGAGAGAGAGGGAAGAGGAGGAAGAGGGGAGGAGAAAAAAGTGGTAATGGTGCTTTGACGGATAGCTATTTTTCCTAATGCTGCATTAGTGTTTGTAATTGATTCGGAGCCATTGTTCCCATATGATGATTCCAAATACTGCTTTGGACTATAGGAGACACAATTTGCTCTTGAGAAAGCAATCAGGAATCTGATGAGAAGAGGACAAGATTTCATCCAACTAACATATCACACATAGCTTTTTCTTCGTTGACACCTCACCGTGGTGAGACGAACGCCTGATTGAAATTCAGTACTCATCGAGATTCGCGTCATTTAGCGACTGGAACGCCATCTAGGTGTCGGATGTGTCCACGCGATGTCAGTGTTTGGTAATCGGTATGTGTGACAGGGAAGAGATGATGACACTTCATGAAAGAGGGATTTGTTCGCTACTGCTAATCTTTTATCCAGTCGTGCACATGGCAAGTGCTTCGTTGCAATACGAAGGAAATACTTTAATGGCAGTACCGAATCAGTTCACTATTAAGGATACTCTTTCGCTGCACTGTAACTTGCCGAAGCTAGAATCTCGTCCTGGTATACTTCATGAAAGAGTTTTTGTGGTAACACTTTCTTCAGTAATGTGATTGTTGGCCAAGCACGCTTCAGTTTTATGCAAAAGTGAAGTCTTTAAAGCAGTGGCTATTTTATTTATATCAGTTCACCCTTGGAAAAGGTGACTGTTTTTCTACGTATTCGTCAGAATACATTAGTGTTTCTTAGAGTAGATACTGTTTGTCGCATCTTCATAATTCATGTTATTTTTGGAAATCGGAAATTTCGCATTCCTAAGCGGAAAATTCTAGAAGCTTCAAGTTATGTTAAGAAAGTCTTTGAGCACAAACTCACTTTTTTACTAGTGACCACTTCTTTGATATGAAACTAAACTTCATTTGACCATGTATAAAGCTGGGATCGCGTAGTGGTCATTCAAAGGTTGTCTTTTCCGTGCATTAGGAATCCGATTTACACTTATGAATGAAAAACACAGTAAAAGTTTTTATATTTCCATTGTAGTAATGACAGTGATCTCTGACTGGACTCGTGCATAGGGAAAAAGGTACGGCTACCATAGCAATCGTTGAAACTTCCCAAAATTAGTTCCATTGTGGTGTACTTTGTGCATTTATCCACGAACATTATTCTAGATGCATGAATGTTTCGATTGAAGCCTACATTAAAATTTATATGGAAATTACAACCACAATGGTGCCGAGATAATTGCAAAGCTCGGACTCGCACTTCGGCTTCGAACCCACGATAACCCTTTCCGGGGGCTCTCGTGTTACTCACTTCGTCGCCGAAGCCCTTGATATACCTTTCTCTCGTTCAGTTTTTTTTGTCCTAACGGTATTATCAGCTCTTCAACGGGAATGATCTGGAGAGTATAAATCGGCATCGAACCCAGCTACTCTGAAGCTGCAATCTGTGCACATTGTTATAAAGGGAAATCTGGATTCTATCAAGGGCATGCACATTGTTTGCCTCAGAACAACCAAGCTAACTGTTCAGTTTTTGAATTTCTTCTAACTCTGCGATTACAATGTTGTATATGGTGATGATACTCTCAACAATTTTATCACCAAACTACAGTATGCAGTTAAAGCTTTCTTAACGAAATTTCATAGATGTCACCGAAACTAATACATTTCAAAGCATGCAATTTGTTTCCTCGCAAATCATAACCTTTTAGGATTGACGAATCTAAAGAACCTAGCTCTTTTGATAACCTAAAACGCTAGATGTCAGTGCTACTAATTGATTTCCTAGGAAGATATTTGTTTTCTTATAAATTAAAAGGCATTAGGAATGACGAATCTTAACAAAAGAAAAAAGAAAACTAGGACTACGGCAAAAACACAAAAACAGTATTCGATAGATAGTGTTTATACAGAATTTGTCTAACATAAGGTACAGGGACGTTTTTTGTGCCAATGACGAATCTTAACAAAAGAAACCTTTGATGGACTATAGTTCCAAACTATTCGGAGATTTATTGGAAAGGCTCGCAAGTTATTCAGTCATCTTTGGAATAACTACAGCTATCAAATCCTTTACTGACCGTTTGTAGAATAAATAAACCACTTCTAAGTAGTAAACAGGTCAGCGACAAAATTTCATGTCCTACCCACCTGTGCTAACCCTCAAGCTAATAGTTCTTATCAACGATAATATTATAATGTCGAATTTAGCGGCTTTTTGAAATGTGGTGAGTCTTATTGTAAAAATGGCAGTGATGAGATACTTATATAGTGAATTATGATGCCTTATAAGATTCGTAAGACTATTTTCTATTCAATCACCATAAGACATTTGAAGATTTATATTGATATCGCCTAGGGTGTGCTACAACATATATATATATCCAAGCGAAAATCAATCACATTTTTCTGTTGCTTTAGATGGGCATGGTTGAGATTAAACATTGCAACTTGCACAATATGCTCACTGCAAACGAGGATTGAAATAGAGATGGAAGTAAGGGTTCACTTATTTGTTAGTAGATACATGAGTTTGTTCCAATTTTAATTTACCATACTATTTTGAACCAGTTGCTGTTTTTTTTAACAAATACTGGACAAAAACTATAATCATCCTTGGACTAATGTTTCAAAACTGCGAAAATGAGACAGGGCTAATCGTGACGAAATTATTTTAAGTTGCTAACTGGGAAATCTTTTTAGTCAGCCATTATCAACTGCAGCAGTAGTTCTGATCTGTGTTAAATTCCAGGAAATTGTTGTGATTTTCTAAGGTTAATGGTAAAATCAGGGTCAACTATGACATTATTTCCCAAGCTGTCAAGTTCTATATAAATGAGCAAGCAATAATGGAGAAGATGCATGCGAAGAGATTGCACTTCTGTGCCACCGACAAATTTTTCCCTTTGGTGTGAGAAAAGAGCGATCAGTTAGTGAACATTTACTATAGCGTATATATATATATATATATATATATATATATATATAATGTTTAAATGGTGAGCAAGAAATGGTCTGCAGTTATATCTTACCTTCCCTTCTTGTTGAACAACAGGTTTTTACTAATTGGTTATTAACTAGGAAATGCCCGATTTGTCAGTGTGAATTTCCATTGTTTTCTAGTCCGTTTATTAATTTTCTTTCTATAGATGATGTGTCACCTAATGGGTTGCCTCATAATCTTTGCTGGGTTGGATTCTTAAGTGTCGAACTACTAAACACAGCATAGGTTCATCCTCCCAGTGATGTCACCTAAGGTGAGGAGTTCAAGATCACCATCCGGAAATACAACTAGGTATTTCCCACTTGGATTCACGAAGGTTGACGGCTGTCTTTGGTGACGATTTGAGGAAGCCATATCTATTTCGATACTTCTCGGAAAGAAAACCTTGCGTAACCAACAAATTGCCGGTTGAATGAAGTTTCTTAGGCATGTCGCACGATTCTTCGAAGAAATGGATCATTTAAATATCTAAGTATATAACTAGGTACGCATGTTTTCTCATTTATTCTGAAGCGCAAATTTCCATTAGGATTCTTAAACTAATGTGTTCGTTTTTGTTTTAATTCCTATTCAGTATGACTTTTAGCATTTTCTTTTGGAATGAAATCGAAAATTTATGATTTTGAGGTATGCATTGTTGAAATCCATATCCCTGGACTCAAATATACAGCAATCGCTTGCAATGTCAGAATTGTGTTTGATCAAGGAACCTATCCGCACGATACGCCGTGAATACTTAAACGTATTTGCCATTTGAAGTACTAATTGAGACAGTTAAACTGTTCAGGAATTTATGGAAGCTAGAGGTATGAAGGTGGCGCAGTGGATGGAGGCGCCACTGCGACGTACACATGGAATCGATCCCTGCGCCTATGGTCCACCAAGCCTTCCATCCCTCTGGGGTCGACAAATTGGTACCAGACTTGTCTGGGAGGTTAGCAGCACTGACTCGGTACATCGGTAGGGCCACTGCGAGTCATTGTAAAGGCCAGATATGCATTCCATCACCTCCAACTACGCTTAATGAAGTCGAATGCATGCCACATCCCTCAGAGATTGATCAACGCTAAGAGCTTTATCCTTTATCCTTTTGAAGGTATTAGCAAAGCAACAGCTTGGGAGTGCATTTAAGTCGGAAGGTCCGAAAAGAAGTGCATATATATTTAACTTAACGAATGAGGCGGTGGTACCCGTTATATGGTGCGTTCTACGTTTTTCTTATGCAACAAAGTATTCTTCCTTTTCTTTTAAATGCGGGAAAAATGTACTGAGTATGACAATCAATGATGTTTTATGAAAGCTTGGTTGAAGGCAAGACACAGAAACATTGCCCAGTAACGGTGCAGCAAAAATATTATAGTAACTTATTCATGCTCAACATATAGGTTCACTCACTGCAACTTCTTGTATCCTGGCGAAGCTGCTGAAATAGAAATGCTCCCAGGAAGTTGACAAAATTCTCCTAAAAACTGAAATTTCTGAGACAGCTGTTGATCGTGTAGAATCGATTCTGCTTTACGAAAAACAAATCATAAGAAAATCATGAGAATGTTCTTTTCCAAAAATAATTTATGAACAGAAATGTTGGGTCAGGGAGGTCCTCGACAACGTTACGGAAACAAAAGAGTGGTTTTTTGTGTAGATGGATTTTCTAAACCATCCTCTTAGTCATGCGCCTTGCATTCGAATCCATTAAGCATTGTAGAGATTATTAAATGCATATCTGGTCCATCCACTAACTTTCATGGGGGTCTGCCCATGTGCAAATCGCCGTTTTTATCCTCCCAGACAAATCCGGCTCCAATTTGACGACTTCGTAGAGATGGCGGGCTTGGGTAGCCCGGGACGCGGTGTTGAAGCAAAGGCCGTGTGCCTATCACGTGAAAGTTCTAACGGTTGCGCTACACACATTCCACATAAAGTATCTGTCTGTAACTTGAGCATTTTCTTTAACTGTTTTGTATAACAAAAATGAAAAGAGGTTCCAATTCAATCACCAGCTAGGAGCGTCTGTAGTGCATTAGTTAGAGGTACTCTGCGATAAACACGTTGTCACTGGTTCGACTATGCGCCTAGGTCACTCTAGAGTCCAGATATGAATTTAGTCTCTTCTAAGAATACTCAATAAAGTCGAATGTATGCACATCGTCTATGGATTGGTCAACCTCAAATGCTTTATTCTTTTATCTTTTATCCACAGTTACCATCGAATTGGTCGAAATCTTCATTCTTCTGCTTTGACTTGTTCCATGTACACTTTTCTCACCTATATCACCTGCAGTCCTGTTGATCGTTGAATGATTCAATCTGGCACCAGTAAATCTTTCACTTTTCCCTGTCGCGTGCAAGAGTAGCTCAGTGGATTCTGCTCGCCCTTGGAACTCGTCGAGCATCATATCTTTCTTCTCGGCTCTTCGTGAAGAGCTCTGACCATCGAGTCGGTGGTCTTCCTGCAGTACACTTGACATTTCAAGGAATCCAGTCACTAACGGCGTTTTTCCATCGCTTGTAATTCATACGCATTACGTTTCCAGCCCACCTTATCTTCGACTGTTTGGCGAACAGAACGGCATTTTTGATTTCTGATCGTTGACGCAGATCGGAGCTTTGGATCCCATCCCTTACTTATGTGGAACGGGATACTCCTAGCATCGTTCTTTCGACTGCGCGTTCAATAACGCTGAGTGATTTTTCATCCTGCTTACGCAGCAACCAGGTTTGTGACGCATACGCCAAGGTAGGAAGTACCGTTGAGTCGAAAAGGTGGACACAGAGTCGGGTGTTCCTTGTTCCCCTCACTACGCCCTGGATACTCTTGAAAGCTTCACAAGCCGCTCGTTTCCTTTTGCTCAGCTCGGGAGTCGTGTGTTTCATTGTGTTGCGGCTGTTTGAGTTTATCTTGATGACCAAGACCATAGAATACAATGTCAAATTACAAATTACAAATTAATGAATACAAATTCAGTCACTTGAATTTTTTGCTACCTTTTCGCGAATCACACTTTTGAACCTTGCTCCACATTTTTTTTTCACTTTTCATGAATTTTTTACCATTCTATTTTTTTCTCCATCTTCAAATTGTTTTTCACTTTTTTCTAAGAATGCATCATTTTTTTTTTACATAGATTGGTTGATATTTTCTAAATCTAGCTACAAATGCATTTTTAGTGAAGTCACATTTCTACTAGAACTCTTTGTGATTAGTGACACAAAACAAAAGAAAATTTAATAGCCGAACGACATCTTATTGCTCCGCTCTCATAGCTAGCGACGGACTACTTTGAACGAGAAGTTTCTTTTTGAATTTACCAACTGGAAGCTCGGAGTTGAGCGCTTCATTACTGTTTCATAAGTTAGTTAGTTCTCAGAAACAAAGTATATGACGTCTTTCAAACACTTTATCTACAGCGAGCTATTTATAGTCCAGATTTAGATGTTCTTGTTTATCCTGTAGCTACCTTACAATTGGATACTTGGACTACCCGTCCTCACTGGTTGTGCGAACCCCAGCATATTCTCCAATTTTCAGAGTTTCACTGATTTAGCCATTGTGGTTCCATGGAGTCTGGAAGGCAACCTGGCCAAGGTCTGCGCCAGGTCGTCACCACCACAGGTAGTCGCCATCCTTGTGGATTAAAGGGAGATTTGCAACCATGCGACTAGTTTAGTACCAAACCGGTGGTGGATCCTGGCATTGGTTTACTCCTAGCTAGGCTTCCTGATGAAAACACCGGACTCAGCGTGTGAGACCTTGCCGCTAGGGAGTGGGAATCCTCCCGTTGTACATCGCAGTCCGACACCCCAGGAACACTTTCCAGTCACGATGAGGTGGTAAACCGTTGGGAGGGTAGCGACCTTATAGAATGGTAAATTGACAAAAGATAAAGCGTTCGTCGTTCATCAATCTCCGAATGATGCTGAATGCATTCGGCTTCATTATGCGGCGTTTTGTGTAAATGAATGCATACTCTGATCTATATAGAGACTTATGGTGGCTTACTGTTGTATCAGGTTAGTGTTGTTATCCTTCGGGTTTGGTCTGATACCAAATCGCCAACCGCTGAATGATGGAAGGCTTGGTGAACCATGCGCGCGGGATGGAGCCATCGCCCACGTGTGTATTGGGAGCCACCTATAACCACTGCACTACGCGTGCCCTCATGGCTTATGTAGCAGAAACAACATTATAAGTTATGGTTTTCTGTCCTACAAAACTAAAATAAATGTGAGTACACCCTATAAAATTATCCTTATTAAGATTTTATACGATTGTTTGCTTGAAAGAGTTTCAGATATTTCTGTTTAGATGTTTGTGAGGTCATTGGCCTCATATTGTATAAAAAAACATTATAACAATAAAGTTGCTTCTGGTACGTGAACTATAATGCATAGCATTTCCATTTTGGTAGAAGAGTTTTTATAAATCGCTTAGAAACTTGTTGGTTTATTAGGGCTAAATAAAGCGAAAAGTGTTAGGTGGAGAAAAAGTTGGAATAATTTATTAAAACTTTATGAGGACGGCAAAAAAAGTCAAGATTAAGCCGTTAACCGAAGAAACAGAAGTGTTTCAATTCTTAGTCCTAAGGCGAGAATTTTTACTTGTTCATTTTGAAAAGCTATGGAGGGATTTTCAGATGTTCTTTTCGCTTAATAAATTCAGGAAAATAAAATTTGAACTGAAGAGGTGAAGGCATTGATGGCTTTGTTTGCATTCAGTATATTAGATAAGCGATATTTTTCCTTCCAAAGGACATTCGAACTACCTCAACTCAAGACGATGTATTCACTAAGGCTTCTTTTTTATAAAAGTTTGCGACATTTACCAGAGTACCAATGAGTGTAGGAACTTTTGGTAATTGAGGAGGATTTGAATGAACGGAAATTGGTTCATGTTTTTTCTTAAAATGACACAAATATGCTTATTACTTTCCTCGGATACTGTATTTTCTTGCTACGACATGTGTCTCTCAAGAGTTTTTGTTACGTCGACATCAAGTACTTATCGTTACTATTTTATGGTAGCAACATTTTATCACCAGTATTATGACGTCAAAGGCAAAGATAGCTTAAGTAACCGGAAGTTCATCATTGTTCTGGGTGAAGATCTATAGCTTTTAATATTTCTACCTTATTACCAAAGGTGCTGATTGATTACCCGCATAAAATTAATAATCAGAGAATAGTTTAGGAATTTAGCCGGATCGATTTCCATGAATGAAGTTCCCTGCGGAATTTTTGAAACTTTCCTCAGCTGTATTTTAGAATGTCGGTGCTTGCAGCTAGTATTATTTATGAGGACGTATAATTTACAGATTTATGATGTTCATCAAAGGCCTTTCTTCAATTACTGATGAGCTTTTGAGTACAGACTTTTAATCTTCATTAATGGAGTTGGTCAGATTTATTAACGAATGGACCGTGAGCAGACACGTATGTCACTCAGTATATGATAACTATTAATGGGCATGAAATGTAAAGGGAATTTGTTGCGTTTCATAAAGTTAGTTACTAACGTTGTTATATAACATGTTTCTTACGTTTTGCGGACTTCAACTATAAAAATGAGTAATAACTTTATCTTCTGGAGTTACTAAAGCTCAATAGAAAGGGACAACTCCAAAAAAAACCTTCGACTGCTACTGCAACTGTTAAGATGTTGAGATCTTATTGAGATTTTTCAGTACTGTAGAGTTTTTCCTACATTTCCTATGACAAATATTGTAAGGTCGAGGAGAATAGTCGGGGTATTACTAGGTTTTTTTTTGCTGAAAGACCCACTTTTTTCTGGTTTTTTGAGTCCTCTTTGACTACAATCTTGATTTTCGGTTTGTCTTAGTTTATTTCTTCATTTATAATCGTTTCCCTTTAATAACTTATCCTTGTCGTCATTTGATAATAGTTCTAGAGCATTAGCATATGAAGAGATTATAGGTCGATTTTTCTTGTTCACTCTTATTCATTGGTGCTACTATAAGGCAAACCTATAGCTCTATCAGTACCCGTACATTTTTGTGTCGAAGTATCACTTACTCTTTGGATTCACAATGTTTATTGATCACAACCGTTACGGAATCATGACTCTTGAAGCATGTATAAATTAACGAAACGATTACATATACGCTACTAAAATATTGCGGTACACAGTAGTTCAATGAAGGAGATGACGCGTTTTTGCACCACTGATCTTGTGATTAGAAAGGAAAGGAGAAGAAGAGGAAGGCTTGTTTTGTCTAGTAGTCGAAATATAATTCGAACATCGGTATTCGTTTGCCAAATCTGAAAGTTAGCAATAAAAGGATCAGTCGTCATTGGAGCAGAAAAGTATTCTGAATAGCACGCCATCCGACATTTATTCCATGTACCTTCGTCCGAACCTTCATCCTTCTTACTCATTTTTTATCCGGCTTTCTATGTTAAATGAATATCATATTTTCGACACACTAGATTCCAGCTGTACATGCGTTGGTGGTTTAGGTAACTGAGGTGAACAACAGTAAAACTGAGAATGTAACAATTGTTAACCTGATAGGTTCACGGGGTACACGCTTCCCGAACCGAATAGGTTCACCGCGAAATCGCTTGAATTGTTGGCGATTCTTACTTGAGTTTTCGTCCTGCGATGGACCTGCTGCGACCTACAAATTCCATTTTCTTAGGTTTGTCTGAAATTTGAATTTCGAAAATAGCCTCAACTGGTGGAACTCTTCCACATGTGTCGTGTATAAATAAAATGGAAACTCACAAGTAAGCTCAAAATAGCCAAGATGACAATGGTAACAAGGGGCTTTCTGATCATTTTGACACCTGAAATGAAAAGCCACTGACGAAAAAATTATTGCATTGTGGCTTTTATACTTGAGTATTAAAAGAGTAGAATATAAGTTCGAAAAGTAGAGACATGAAGTTAGAATATGAATCATGTGTTTTCAATACTACTGCGAGTAGTGTGATAGATTGTCTAGTAAGTGACTTGCAAACAGAATCCGCTCATTACTAGAACGGTGTAGAATTTCGATGAAGCTATCGCCTCCGTAAACCCTAGATCGCAGAACATCACTATAGGGCCACCATGTCCTGTTGATGCCATTAGTTTCAAAGATTTAAATACAGCATCGTTATGTATATCACCGTCATCATGAAGACCTAAGGCTCACAGAAGCATAATTACGTAACATTCTATGGAATATAATAGGACTTGGAAGATACTCACTGCGAACAGACGGTGGAAATGGCGGAATGGTTTTTATAGCACGTTTCCGTTGCTGGTCTGGTGTTACAATTACTAATTTTCCAATGGTCTTTTCGGTTCAATACCAACAAAAAACTAGGACCGCGAAAGCAATTTACCGCTAAGTGCCCTATTCGTAATGAAGTTGGAGTTCTGAAGATGGTAAAATGCTCTTGAAACCTTGTTTAGGAATGAAATTAACCAACGTTTGAATGACTACTAATGCGGTGGCTGCTAACAAATGTGACAGATGCTTATCTCAACGGCTAGTGCTGTAAATATACAATGGAAAATTTTCTCCATAAATAAATTGCCTAATTTCACATAAATCGATTTGAGAAGATGGAGGGCAACACGGGTATCCAATTTTTACATTCAGGATCGTCTTAAACCAGGGCGTATGCTTCTCGTGGATACCTATGAGCAGAAAATTGAGCAAGATAACGATTTGAAGAGGCGTATTGCGCAGTCCAGGCCACATAAGAAGCTTACGTCACATCGTGTCTTTTTAGACTTACTTCGCAAGGATGATGTCGTAAGTCTTTGGTTTTCCCTAATCGTCTACACTATGAGTAGCTAAAAAATCATGTATTTGAAGCTGTATGCAAGGGACAGCCATCGTTATTTCAGCTCTCACATGGTGCCGTGACCAATGAATTCCTCATCAAATGCCACCTAGAGGCAGTTGGCATCGACAGCAAGAAGAAAGACGTGCATTTAGATTCAGATCGACGTTTGTCTCTGTACGCCTATACCCACGACACATTCAGCTTGTTGCTGGTGCCGATGATCAAAGAAAAGTGCGTTTCTACTAAAGTACTAGTACCAGTAACGGGAAGTAAAGAGTTCAGTTTCAGCGAGGTAGCCTGAAGGAAGCTGTTAATATATAGCTTATTCTCCATGAAGAAGCACTAGGTGATGTTAGAATCAGTCGTCCACTATAAACCATCCAAATTTCCATAGTCTATAGGGTAAGAGTATCCCGTTCCACACAAGTAAGGGATGGGATCCGAAGCTCTGATCTGCGTCAACGATCAAAAATCAAAGATGCCGTTCCGTACGACAAACAGTCGAAGATAAGGTGGGCAGGACAAGTATGAACTGAAACCGATGGACAAGAGCCGTTAGTGACTGGCTTCCTCGGGATGTTAAACGCACAGCAGGAAGACCACCGATTCGATTGTCAGAGTTCTTCACAAAGAGCCTTGAAGAAAGATATGATGCTCGACGAGTCCCTAGGGCGAGCAGAACCCACTGGGCTACTCTTGCACGCGACAGGGAAAATTGGAAGATTTACTGGCGCCTGCTCGAGTCACTCGGCGATCAACGGGACTACAGATGATACAGGTGATAGGGTGGTAGATGACATGCGAAAATCGACATCGAACACAATACAATGGTTTTCTCGTGCCTGATTTGGTAATTTTTGTCTAGTGAATATAATGTACAGAAATGATAGAGTAGAACGCGAAAGATCGGAGTATACGATGAGTGGAAAACAAATGTCATTTGTGGTTCTAGTACATTAGATCTAGATGCTCATTCACATAACCATAAGCGCAGAATTAACGCGCACGATGTTTCTTTACTGACAGTAAGTACCAGCTGCTACTGCATGTTATACGTATGGTTTAAGCCAGCCCATGAACTCATCTCTCAAGAGTTAATCCAATTAAAAGTCGACGTTTTATATTCATGTAAATTCATCACGATTTACTGTATGAGTTTCACGCATCTTTGTTTCACTATAATTGTGAAAGTGGTTTGCTACTATTTACTATTAGGGTCAACCTGGACAAAGCGTTCGCAGTTAAACATCAGGGCAGCTTTAGCCTAAGAGAGCTCGCAGTCTATTTAGAGTCATTAGATATCCAGCTAATCTGTAGGACTTGTACATTTTTGTGCTTTTTGTGAGGTAAGAAAAGATTTGGTTCAAAGTATAGTATTTTTAGGAAAGAAGCGCTGGGCTCTATGGGGAATGATGCCGCCTTAGCGTGTCTGTCTGACTTCAGTCCGCTAATGTTCTCCTATTTTCAGCAGTTGTTTGCTCAGGTAGGATTAATCATCATATAACTCTAGAATTTTAGTTATATACTGTATTCTCATAGAATATATCTCGAAAGAAGCCCATAAATGAAACGCGCAGCGAAGCGCTAAAGATAGACTTGCGTTGGTTGGAGAAAACGCTGTAGAGCACAACTTTGGTTCAAAATAAATGCGAGAGTGGAGACGACCTTAGAGAACGGACATAATGAAACATTTTGCCTAGGATTATGACACTAATTAGCGGCGTAACACAACGCCTCTGCAGAGCTAGTTTTTCACAACACACCTACGGAAAACAACTAGATGCTGAGTTCAGATGGTATATATCTGCGTCCATTACGATCAGTACTTATGAGGGTACATTCTTTTTGTGATGAGTGACGAAACTAATAATCTCAAGATGAAGTCCGCTCATAAAATAGGACCCATAAAATAGAAATCGGTGAGTCTTTCAAACCTTTATTAGTGCAGCTGAAAATTTTCGCAAACTTTTTGGATAGTGACGTTTAACTGCTATTTACTGCCTATGAGTTAGTTCTTCACTGCAGGGCATGATTCGAAATGCAACCGCAAGAATGTTGAGATGTGAGCAGATATCTTCCTCATATCTCAGCATCTTTGTGGTTTTAGATAGCTCTCCACTCTTACTTGCTTCACATCAAAAGATGAAGGTAAATCCTCCGTCTTTCTTCTAGAAGAATCCACCATCGGTGCTTTGATCAATATAGCGCTATAAGACTTTTTTTTTAAAAACGTTTTTTGTATCAAAGCAAGTTTGGAGGAGAAAGTAGAGAAGAAAGATCTCGATAATCATAAATCTTGTTGAGGTCTCATGCCGGTTTTCCATCTTCACTCAGTTGCATCTTCAGTCTACTGAATCTGGATTTTGTATATCTACACAATACATTTCAGTCGCATAAATTATTGTCTAATGCGGACACTGAGATAGCATTCGAGAAAAGAAAACACATTTGTAAAAGTAATAAATTTCTAAGCACAGGAAAATGTTTTTCGATGGTGAAACTTCGTGTAGAACTGGTAAGTTTCATAAACTTGTGATTAAGTGTGGAAAGTGCACGTGATGTAGTAGGACATTATGGTGAAGAACTGAGGATATTTAATACCTTCTAGGGTAGCAAATCGGTTCTGATAACTGATTAATCCCACAAATCGCATTAGGTAGTGGATAATGTGCATTAAACGATATGCAATTCATGGTAACATTATCCTAATACTGATTATAGGTGACAAACCCACCCATCGATCCGTTTCGCGAGCAGATTGTGATGAGCTTGCGCTGTCCTGTTGGTCCAGAATCAAACTTGCTAGACCCGAACGCAGAATTGACAAGTCGCCTTATCCTTGAACAACCTGTACTTTCACTGGTCGACATGGAGGTTGGTGTCGATTAAGCAACGGTTTTTCTGTGATTGTAAATTATGCGTGTATTTTTTGCTGTGTTCGTTTTTACGAAAACAAATTCAACACGACAAGTATTTATCGGTAATGATTTCGTTAAAGACGGCATACTTATTCTTGAATGAGGTAGATAAAGTTGTTCTTATTATATAGAACTGTGGCAAGAGGCTTTAGTAACCAGTACTCGTTTTGGAATCGTTTTCGAACCTTCGGTAGGAAGATAAAGAAGCAATTATTTTTAATCCTATCTCATTTATGCCTCTAAAATATTAGGAGTACCTTCTTTAGGTGATCAAGCGCACAATGTACAAAGGATGGCATAGCAAAACTATTAACATCACTTTCCCAGTGAGATATGGTGTAAGAGGTCAGTTGGAAAATGTTTCCATTTCTTTGTTACCCTTGGCAGATAGAGAGAGAGAGAATAGGGAGTAATTTATACTGCTTGGCTCTTACTGTGTTAAATTGTATTGTTTCCTAGAATTTTAGAATTGTGTGTATACCATCAGTCATAATTATGCCTTTTTCATCTTAGGTTTGGTACCCGGTCTGGATCGAATTTGTTGTGAGGCATGTGAAGCTGCTCTAGATGGATATCAAATTATTGTGCTCTCAGACAGAGGAGCTAGCAAGGATAACGTGCCGATTTCATCACTACTGGCCGTCGGAGCTGTTCACCAGTGTCTCATTCGACATCGACTACGAATGAAGGTAATAAAGAAAGCATAATGAGAATTTTCTTTCTTTTTTATATAGTTTAGTAGTAGAAGTAAAAGCAATGAATACGAGGATGTTTCTATGACTGGAAAGAAGGTAGGAAGTTGTACTGAAGTGCATTAGAAGTCATGTGAAAAAAATAGTAGCCTTAGCGGTTCCGATTTTGTTTGCGATTAAACCGTACACTTGCCAAAAACTAGAAGACACCGTCAAAAATTTGGATAATTTCTTTAAGAACTCATGAAGTTCTTTACACTCCTGGTCAGGGGACAGTGGATTAGAAAACCTAGGTAGTTAGATGAGTGAGTGTGCATGTAGCGTTGTGTAGAGGTGCCCTATAATGCACACATCGGTCGTCAGCTTGCCCTCGTGCTCAACAATCCCTCCTGGAGTTGATGAATTGGTTTAAAAAGCTTGTCTGGAAGGATAGCTACACTTCTTTGATATATCGGTAGGCCATCGCAAGTCGTTGTATAGGCCAGATCATCTCAGTCATCTCCAAACAATGCTTGACGAATTCGAATTTATGGTGCATTCTTCGGAATTGATCAACACCGAAACTTTAGCCTTGTTACTCAAGTTATTTGAGTGAGTTCATGAAATACCACAACGGTGGTGGTGGTGAATTAGCGTGTTGGCCCTGTTTCAGCTTGACCTTTCTGAAGCTCTCATGCTATTGACTTCATAACCTAAGATATAATTCTGCTGGAGAACACTAGAAGGGAAATGAAATGAAAATTAGGTATTTTACACTTGGTTGATCATAGGATGAAATGATGATTTTAAACTGTTTCTCGGTTCTAGTTTATTGGCTAATAGGTGGAAATAGTTGCTAAAATGTTTAAATATCATTCAAACAGCACGTAGTTAAATGTTTTCAAAAAGGGACCATAATACATCAAGAAACCCACACATATTTCAAGTTAATGAGCAGTTTACAGTTAATGCTCTCTATAAAGTATCCAGCATTTAATCACGAAGTAGGAAAATTGTGGAGAAGAAAAAAGAAAAAGAAAACGTGTAAGCCGTTCAGACGAGATTGATTAATGCAAAACACCCAGCCTTATGTTTTGCTTTGTATAAACAGTTCTCTTCATTTTACTAATAACAGAAACATTAGCAGTCTTTGTGAAAAAAAGAACAAATTAATGTTCTCGTCAGGTCTGAAAGACAAGCAACGACGAGTGTGTCGTCATAGGAAATTTATGTGGAGAATGTCGTTGGGCTGCAAAAGTCGATAGAATGTTTACTCTGATGTTTTCTTTTTTTTTACGTTTGCCTTAAAGAGAGACGTTTATTAAACTCGTAATTTAGACGTTGTATGGAGAATATCGCTGACGATAAAGTCTGGAGAAATTTTATGAGAATGAGCAATGGACAAGAAAAGGAACGTTATAATCGTGAGATTAGAAAGGCTCATAGAGTGAAGCAAATTTTCTTAAAGGTGGCCATCATAGTAGAAAGTGGAGAGGCTAAAGTCGTACACGATTTCTGCGTTCTACTTGGTTTCGGTGCTGACGCCATCTGTCCTTACATGGTGTTCGAGACGATGTATCGTCTAAGAAATCTCGGCCTCCTTGACAAAGAGCTCAACGACGACATGGTACGCTTTTTTCGTCAAGTCCTCTGTTGTCGACATAATGTACAAAGAGCCAAACTCATTGCAGGTATTTCAAGGTTATCGTCAAGGTGTTGAACGAGGTATCTTCAAGGTAATGGCGAAAATGGGTATCAGTACACTACATTCGTACAAGGTATATGCATGCTTCAGATCCATATCATGTATTAATGAATATAGACTTTGAAGCATGAACAAAGTTGTCATTATTCTATTACAGCACGCACAAATTTTCGAAATTGTTGGTCTGGCTCATGAGGTGGTAGATATGTGCTTCAAGAATACCGTATCGCGCCTTGGTGGAGCCACATTCGAGATTCTGGCTTCTGAAGCACTGAAGCGTCACCGATCCGCGTTCCCTGTCGCTCCCAACGCAATGGAGCATGTATTCGGTGAGTTAAGATTACGGCTGCAGTGGCATTTATGCTTTATTTAGTGCGTGACAATTTGATTGAAATCTCACCTGCATTCCTGTAAATCAAAGAATCTTGCGAATAAGCTCTCTATTCATTCTTATCGCGATCCAGACGCACAACTCATATGGTTCCTTTTGTTTTTGGCCACTCTTTTGTGTAAGGGTTACCATAGATAGTTTGCTGAGCTTTACCACAACATTAACTAAACAATCGGATTTGATCGAAATGCAAAACTACTCAATTTGAGCACCTCTGTTGGTGAATGAGCCTGGTAGTTTAATTTCGCTTAGATTTCCTCGAAGGGCGCGTGTAGCGCAACGGTCGGAGGAGCAGTGCACATGGGATCGATCCCTGCACCCAGCCCCACCAAGCCTTCCATCCTTCCGGAGTCTACAAATTGGTACCAAACTTGTTTGGGAGGATAGCAACACTGAATCAATACATCGGGAGGGCTACATCACTTCGAGTCAGTGTGATGGCCAGATGTGCATTCAGTCAGCTCCAACGATGCTTAGTGAAGTCGAATGCATGGCGCGTTCCTCAGGATAGATCAATGCCGAGGGCTTTATCGTTATCGTTTTCTTGTCTACTGGACACCGTTTTAGCGAAGAAGAGGAGGTAAGCTCTTAACATGGACCGGTACAGATACATATTTGCAATATAAAAACATAAGTATAGAGTGTGTACCAAAATGACACACGGATAGAACCTAGTGTTAGTGCACCTTTTTTATGTGAGTGTGAACAGTGTGGAATGAACGATCTTTGTTTTCGGTTAGCACTTCACGAATTTTCGCTCTGTTCTATGCAGCAAAAATTCTTCATATCTTGACTGTTGCTTTGACTATTTGTAGTTGGCGGGAAGCTGAGCGAGTGTGGCGTAATCTATGGTAAGGTAGTCGTTGAGTTGGCTGTGTTGTCATACGTTGAAATCAGCATGTTGTCATCATGTAATACCCTGATTTCGTTTTCGCCTGGATATTACCTTGTGATTTGTATCTTTTACATTCCCATTAGTTGCTAACTGAGAATCGGAGTATATTTCTACAGTTACGATATATTACAAATATATTTCATGTGCTGTTTCAACAATGAAGCAGTTGTAGTTATTTCGTTTTAAACTCACGTTCTCGAGACTCGATGCGAAACAGTCAACACTATGGTAACTCTCGAGAATTGTAGAGAAATATCTGGTCAAAAATAGTCTTTATCAAATGTAGTGCTGTAGCTTCATAGTTGCTTTTGGTGGTGATTCTCTGGTGATTCAGCAATCAACTGCTAGCAGTAGTTTGTACGATGCCGAAATTATTGTTAGAGCTATTTTCATTGATTTACTAAGGATTTTATGGAGGTTATGTTGAGGTGATTCACGAGTGCTAGTTGCATCGGGAACCTACCATTGGAGAGCTGGTGGCGAAAAGCATATCAACGAGCCAGAAGCAATCGCCAAATTGCAGGTGCCGTCTGTTTTTCTCGAGCTCGCGAAATAATGTATCATACTATAAGAACTACTGTAAGAGCATACTGTACAACGCCTAAAAAGTTATGTCGTCGAGGTCGTAGAGAGATGTAGATGCGTTTTGTATCCAAAGAAACTGTGCTACGAGACCACCTACATCGAAGTATTACGTTAATATGCCAAAAATATATCAGAGACGCAGCATATAAACGCATGCTTGTAGAGTTGCAATTAAATTGGATACGATTATTTTGCACACTGGTGTTTCGAACTATCTTGAACACTGTAAAAAATGTTGACGTTCTACGAAGCTTAACAAGTTGTCGCATGCATTGTTAATATCATGTTATGAGTGTGATTCGAAAGCAGTTTCCTAAGCTCTAGGGATCATTTTTTTTTCAGGCTGCTACTCGTTTGAACAATTTGAAAACGTTCCACGAGTATTCTCAAGCGTCGAATCTAGCCCAAAGATGGTGTACTTTAAGGGGTCAACTCGAAATTAAGACCAGTTCGAAGCTCGAGATACCAATAGACCAGGTCGAGCCTGCTAGCGAAATCGTGAAGCGATTCGTCACTGGTACGTATCAAACAGTTATTCGAATTTTACCTGTGATTGGTCCGTTGAATTCCTCTAGGAGCAATGTCATTCGGTTCCATATCTTGGGAAGCGCATACGACGTTAGCAATTGCAATGAATCGTATCGGGGCAAAATCTAATACTGGCGAAGGTGGTGAGAAACCAGAACGATACGCTAATGACCAGAATGTGAATAACAATTTAAGATCGGCCATCAAACAGGTTAGATTTGATGCAGCTTTGTCAGTTACTTACTTGATACTTGAATGGCCCGTCCTCACTGGTTGTGCGGGCCCGGCACAATCTCCATTTTTCGGTTTGTTAGTTGATGTCATTAATATTAGTATTTAAAATAGGTTGCTTCTGCTCGATTCGGTGTCACTTCTGCTTATTTGGCTAATGCAGATGAGCTTCAGATCAAAATGGCGCAAGGTACAGAGGATTTATTTGATGTCAATGTTTAAACACTTAGGCTCTGATTATGGAGAGTCACTGTTGAAAGCAAAACATTTGTTTAACAATGGACAGAATGGGTTTTTATTTGCATTTCTGATTTCCTGCAATTTAAAAGTGATTTTTGGTGACTTTCCGCCTATTATTGAGCTATGCCGCTCCTTCAGTGATTGCATTTTAAGGTGCCAAACCTGGTGAGGGTGGTGAACTTCCTGGACACAAGGTGACGAAAGACATTGCTGATACTCGGAAGTCGACTCCGGGTGTAGGATTGATTTCACCTCCTCCACACCATGATATCTATTCCATCGAGGATCTTGCTCAACTAATATATGATCTTAAATGTGCAAATCCACAAGCGCGGGTCAGCGTAAAACTTGTATCTGAGGCTGGCGTTGGGATCATTGCCTCAGGTGTCGTGAAAGGAAACGCTGACCATGTCACCATCTCAGGTCATGACGGTGGTACTGGAGCATCGAGGTATGAGCTCCCATATGTTAGACATTTGAACTGAAAATTCTTTTGTTACTTTGCGTGACGTTGCCTTTCTTTCTTATACATTCGAAACATTCATGACAATACGCAGATTAGGGCACAAACAACACAAAGCATCCATCTTATTGCATTTCCTTATCGATGATTTTTCTGGCACGAAGAGCTTTTTGCAGCACTTTTCATAATCACTCCATAGCCTCCATACCACAGATGTTATGCCAAGATCGGTATGAGGAACACTGTGTTCTACACTTAACCAATGGGGAGACTTTTAGTGGATATTAACAATTTTGCTCTAGACGCATATTCACCGTCATCAAAATTATTATAGAGAGACTACGCGTTCAAAATAAGCGTGTTAACCAATATGTTTCCAAACTACGTGGCCTTTTTGTTTTAAACGTTTTTTTTGTCATAAACCTTGGTTTTTCAAACTACTTTATTTTACTTTGTTTTACTTTACTTCACATCACCCGTTGTCACATCTGTTGTGCGCATCCCACCACTTCTTGCATTCGATTCGATTTCATGGCATTCATCGTCACAGTGGCCTTGGAACGTTTCGCATATTGTTTCAACTGCTGCTGGACGATTTTATAGACTTGTTATGAATGTCTTAGAAAGCTGGTTGAGTGTGTTGTCTTTGCAATCTTGGAAACAGCCGGGCTAAGACGTTTCCACGTAGAGTGAACTAGAGAGTTGGAAGGTGGTCGAGCTAGCGCTATAGAGCCTCCATAAGTTTACCAAGTAGGTCAGAAATGAAAATGAAGTTGCGTTATTAAAATATAGAGTGAGAAGTTATGGGAACAGTTGTGAAATATCTAAATACGTTTTTAATTGTTGAGCTTACACGAGGTTGATAGCGATATTTATTTTGAGTAGAATTTTCACGTCTTTATCTTCATCAGAGAAAGAAGAAGGGTCGGACGGTTCATCAGATGAAGACGAAAGCGTTGAAACCTTTACCGAAATAAAAATCTTTATCAACCTCATGTTAGCTCAAAAATTCAAAAACATGTTGATTTTGTTGATTCAGCTCAATAGCGAACATGTTGATTCAGCTCAATAGCGAACATGTTGATTCAGCTCAATAGCTGACGTTTAGGCGGTTTCTCCTTCTTTAGAAACGTTAGCTATTGTATCTTAATAAATTCTATAATACCAACCTCGTGTCTGCTTATTGAAGAAGGTCATTCAATACTGTGCTGTTTTCGCTAGCGTAATGATGTTGTAAGGAAAGAGATCTTGGAACTGAATTTGTTAGTGCTGTTAATAAATGTTTTGTAGCTGGACTGGTATAAAACATGCTGGACTGCCATGGGAACTCGGTGTAGCGGAAACTCATCAGGTGTTGACAATGAACAATTTGAGAAGTCGTGTTGTACTTCAAGCTGATGGACAAATACGGACAGGTAAGAAGCAGCTACGATTATATTATATTGAACTACTCATGATCTTATCAGCAATCACTGATTGGTATTAGTAACAAGGTCGAGAAAAACCCGATACCATATATTAGGTCGTGACGTTATGATTGCCGCATTGCTGGGAGCTGATGAATTTGGAATGTCGACAGCGCCACTGATTGTACTTGGTTGTACGATGATGAGAAAGTGTCACCTCAATACCTGTCCCGTCGGAATTGCAACTCAGGTTGATATTATGCGTGACTGTTTAAGACACTACTGTAACTTTAGTCATTTCCTTTATTAGAGATACCAGTGCTTAGTTTTTGTACACTTCCATACAATTATTCTATTCACAGGATCCCGAACTACGTGCCAAATTCGAGGGCAAGCCAGAACATGTAGTGAATTTTATGTTCATGGTTGCTGAGGAAGTGCGATACTTCCTTGCAAGACTGGGTCTTCGATCACTGGATGAAGCTATTGGGCGAACCGATCTTCTATATGCAAATCCTAATCCAGTAAACAAAAAAGTAGCAATTTATTTCATCTTTATTTCAAATCGTCTTACGTCGTGCAACAACTCGTTATCATTTTTTCAGGCAACCTTGCTGGAGTTTGGTTCGATTCTAAAAAATGTTCATCACATGTATCCAGATATATCGACTAAAGGTGGATCTGTAAAACAGGTAATTTCATTCGCAAATATTCCGACTGTTTTGCAATACGATAGTTATTTGAGACAATCGAACTCGGAGAACTTGAGCAGAAAATTTTGGAAGTACTTCCACGTGTATTTGACGGTTCTGGAAGCCAATTGAGTATTCCGAGAAAAGTAATCACAAATCTTGATCGAGCATTTGGTTCCAGAATTAGTTATGAGGTTATCGATTGTATTTTCTTTTCTTGTTTTTGTTTTAATTGCAGTTATTAACTTGTTTAAGATTTCGAAACGCTACGGTGAAGGTGGTCTGACGGGTAATCGATCGCTTAAAATTTCACTTGAAGGGTCAGCTGGCCAGTCATTTTGTGCATTCCTGGCCAAAGGTGTTACTGTAGAGTTAGAAGGAGATGCAAACGACTATGTAGGAAAGGTGGGACATCTCATTCGTAGTAAAAATTGTTATCGTCTCGTACTTTGTGGTTTAGTGTCTTTCTGGCGGTACAGTAATCGTCTATCCGCCTAAGAAAGCCAAGTATAAATCCGAAGAAAACTCTATCATTGGAAACGTGGCTCTCTACGGTGCCACATCAGGTGTGCAAAGTTTACTTCGTACTTATATGCTTAGACTGTTGCACTGAATCTAAAGCCAGTTAATACTACTATTTACCACTCGAATAAAATACAGGTGATTGCTGGTTCCGTGGTGTTGCTGGAGAGCGCTTTGCCGTTAGAAACTCCGGCTCTACCGCTATAGTTGAAGCAGTCGGTGATCATGCTTGTGAATACATGACAGGGGGACGGGTGATCGTGTTGGGTCCTATCGGGAGAAACTTTGCTGCAGCTATGAGCGGCGGAATCGCCTTCCTATTCAATCAGTTCGTTTTATCGCTGTTTAGTTGTGTTCATATAGTTTGTTTGCTTGTCATTTCCTCATTTGTTGTCGCAGTAATGCAGTAGTATTAGTGGCAGAATGTTTAGCTGACCGTGTTTTTCTTCGTATGAGGAATTTTCCTCTGTTAAGACTTATTCCTTGCAGAGGCGATCCATTTATCCAGCGAATAAATGTGGCAACAGTGGACTTGGACGAGCCTGCGAATGACGATCTGCTCTTCATTCGTGAAAAGATCGAGCGGTTTATCGAATTAACCGGCTCCAAACTCGGACAAAGAATCCTCGACAATTGGCAGACGGAAAGTTCGAAGATCATAAAGGTAATGCTGCTATGATGGGTTTTCTTTGGTGAAAATTTGTTTGATTCAAAGGTATTCCCTCGTGATTACAAACTTGCATTGAAAGAGCAAGAAGAGAAGAAACGACTAGAAGAGAAAGAAGCTGCTGAAAATTTGGTAGTTGTTTTTCATTCTGTTAGATTCTGAATATTCTATTGCCCCATCATTTTTTGCTCTTAGGTAAATGAAAAGGCGAAAGCAGATCGTGCTTGCCAGCGCAAACTTTCTATGGATATGCAGATCGCACCCACGTTTATTCACAAGAAAAAGAATCTTTCGAAGAAAATTCTTTCTGTGAGTTAGCAAATATGCCTTCTTTTCAAACAGTTTTCCATATCGTTTTCAGCTTATGTGTTCCACATTTTAGTGTGAAAATCGAGGCAATTTACGTCTCAATGTGCCCAAGGTACCCAATGATTTTGTATTTTCTTAGATACAGTAGCCGTGCTTGTGCGATTGTTTGCATAGTGTACTATTTTTTTTCTATGTGTTTAATAATATGTCCCACTACGACGAAGTAGAGCGGAACTGCAATTACCACTTGTCGGTTGTTGACGATGGGTCGTGTTTGAATACAATACGAATCATTTGTATGGTCATTGTCACAGAGTGTTGCTGTTGTTAGTGAAGTATAACATTAGTTAATGCCTGCTTGTAGAAATGCACTTAATTTTCTTTATCATTAACCTGACGATGGATTCTCGTGTTCTTGATGAAGACCAAATTATGATCTTTTTAGGTAGTCCAGCGCAAACGTCGATCCTCCAAGAATCCTCGTCCACAGGATTATGCTGGGTTCGAAGACGTTGATCAAGATGCTAGTGAAGATAATGAGGATGAGAAGTCCGAAAATGATGAGGAACTTCTGTCAGACGAAGAGGTTTCCCAGAAATTTGAATCGCAAGTTGCTTATGTGCATTAGCTCACGTGTTAAGCTTCTAACTCTTAAGATTTTCCACCCGAACGACTATGGCAATGCCAAGAGTGATAATTTGGATATTGAAAATATACCGGTGCCTCCACATCTGAGAAAAAACGATGAGCCTCTCGATAAACTTCGGTGAGGAATCGCTTTATTCTTTCAGCAGACGGTGCATTATTTTTGCTACTGTTTCAATGTTTTATCTGGTAGTGTATTCATGTGTTATCTAGTGAAAATCCATATAAGTGGCGAAAACCTCGATCATTTGGAACCATTTATTTACACTTTAAAAGTTTATTGTAGGTCTAGGTTAAATTATAGTTTTCTGAAAAGTAAACTCCGTTTTTAAAGGTTTAGAGCTCGATTTCCACGTGAAGAAGCATAGTGCCCAGAATAAGCTGGTTCACAGTCATTTTCATTTTGGTCGTTTATTTGTTTACCAGAGCTATTTGGCCTCTTTTTGTATTTATTTTGGACTTTTCTCGTCATAGAATGTTACAGTAGGCGTAAGCCGAGAAAAGCTGTTCGGTGCATTTCGAAATTTTCAGGGTAACAGGTTTCCGAAGTGTTTTTTCTCGTAGCGTCGAGATTGTTGCAGGGATAGTTCGACGCGAACATCAAAACTGCGCACCGATCAGTGATACCATGTTTTTGGTAGCACTCCATATTCAGAACTCCGTGATGCTCAGAGATGAGTGGATTTAGAGTAGCAATTGATGCGAATTTACTCAGCGTAAAGTACGCCACAGCGAATCATTTTAAAGGCTAAATATTAATTCAATTAGCTCCAAACGATGCTCAGTGTAGTCAAATGCATGGCGCGTCCCTCAGCGATTGATCAACGCCAAGAAGCTTTTCCTTTTTTATGATGTGAAACCGACTGAGGAGCGCTGAAGGCAGCGTAGTTGGACATTGAACGAAATTTTTTTCTCATAGATGGGATGAAAATGTTTCACAAGCAAAGGATGATACGTGGAATAAAAAACTATAGAAATTGCAGACAAAGTATGCTGAAAACATGATTATTGGACGAAAGGCATAGTAAAAATGAGCTGCGTTTGATGCCCATCAAGTGGGTATAAAAACTAAGATTCGTTTAAATGCTGTTACTGAATAGAACTATATGCCGGTTTCTAAGTGCTAGACTTTAAATACACGTATCTATACTGATAGTAACTTTACCAATCGAGGTGAAATCACTGAACGCTACACACCTTTCACTTAATATGAACACGACAAATTATTCGTTCACAGTCAGAGTCTAGGCTTTCCGAGTTTGCAAATTCTCTTCTTTTTTTTCGCTGCGATTGGTTCGTTGAAGAGTTTTTCACTTACAAGTACCGGTCGGAATATTTGAAGGAATGGCACTTTGTTGCCGTAAGGTCAGGTGTAAGAGGAGATGTTTTATTATCTAAATTCCTTAAACGTTCACATTGTTGGTTTACAACATGTGGGCGAACGTTATCGCGTATCAGAATTACTCCCTTTGGGTTGATAGATACGTGCTATAGATATTGCACGTCTTGGGGCATCTTCGATTTTTTTGGCATTGGTTCTCTTCTGTAAAACGAAATAGTGAGGAGCATAACTTTTGACGCCGTATTGAACTCGGAAATTGTTTCAGCTCTTCGTGTTTGTATCATCTTGCGGAAAGCATCATCAATCGCCGTACGCAATGCAATTTTACTCTTCTGTCACAGTGAGACCATAAAGCGGTTGGTCTTTGTGGATGAAAAGAAGGGTTGAACACCCTTCGTAACTAGAGTCCTTGCTTTTCCTACATTCCATTGCACGCTTCACTCGTCCATTTTGGCACCCACATTAAGAGTTTTTTCTTAACATGATAGATTTTTTCTTGAAGTGTTTAAGTTGGAAGAGGCAAAGCCTTTGTAGTGTTCTAGAGTGTCATGTTAGTTACAGTGAGAAGTTGAAGACAGAGGAAAACGGTTTTTAACTGGATGAATTCGCGCGGTTGTCGTCGGTTCTTAGTGTTAAGTACTGCCTATTTTAGAGGCTTCATGAAATACGGTCGTCAAAAAAAAATTTATCGTCCTCCTGAAGAACGAATTCAAGACTGGGAAGAAGTGTACGATTTTGAGACCGTTCGCAGCAACATTCGAGAGCAAGCTGCAAGGTACACTTGGACTTCTTTTCACTTTAGCTTTATGCGCTGATTGTATTGCTTACAGGTGTATGGATTGTGGAGTTCCGTTTTGTCAAGGGCACACTGGTTGCCCATTGGGAAATATTATTCCTAAATGGAATGATTACGTATTCAAAAAGAATTGGCGGCAAGCTCTTGAGCAGCTGCTACAGACTAACAACTTTCCAGAGTTTACTGGTCGAGTCTGTCCAGCCCCATGTGAAGTGAGCTGTTGTACTGATATCTGCTTTAATTTTCCGTTTGCGCATGAGTGATCGTCTTTGCCAGGCTCTCATTCTCATTGGGCATTGTGATTGTTAACATCTAGTAAGGTTCTCAACCTTCGAGCACGTTTCTATCACTTGTGAACGTAATTCCTCTCCACGGTTTACCACCTCATCGTGGCTAGGAGGTGTTCCTGGATGTAGGACTGCGATGTACAGGACGGGGGATTCCTTGCTGCAGAGTCTCCTAAGCTGAGGAGACCGGCGTTTCCATGAGGAAGCCTAGCTAAGAGTAAACCAATGCCAGGATCCACCGCTGTCCTGGTATCAAACTAGTCGCATGGTGGGAAATCTCCTTCTGATCCATGAGGACGGCGACTACCTGTGGTGGTGATAACCTGGGCCAGACTTTGGCCAGGCTGACCTGGGGACTCGTGACTCTAGAGAGCCAAAATGGCTAAACCAGCAAAACTCCGGTAATTGGAGATTATGCTGGGGTCCGCGCAACCAGTGAGGACGTGCCGTCCAAGTGTTCGCGTGAGTGAACGTAGTTTACTTGCCTGAATTCATATATCGCCTGTCTTCATGAACAGTCTTGCTGACACTAGAACAAAGTACGTTTAACTGATCTTTCACAAAACACATTTTTGGAAAATTGGTACTTCGGAGTAAAACATCTAACATTTTAACCTAGGAGATTTTAATGAGGGAATGAACTCTTGGTGTAGGTTGCAAGTGGGAAGATGTCCAGCGATTATATCACTAAACCAATGGATGATTTCTGAATACTTAATTACTTGAATACTTGAATGGCCCACCCTCACAGGTTGTGTGGACCGAAAAGTATTCTCCATTTTTCGGAGTTTGCTGGTTAAGCTACTGTGGTTCCCTGGAATCCTAAGGTCAGCCGGGCCAAATTATGCTTCGTGTCTTCAACACCACAGGCAGTCGCGGCGCTTGTGGATCAGTGGGGGATTTGCCACCGCGCGACTAGTTTGGTACCAGCACGGTGGTGGATCCTGGTATATGTTTACTCTTAGCTAAGCTTCCTGATGGAAACGCCGTACTCCTTCTTAGTTTGTGAGACTCTGCCAATGGATGAATCCTCCGCTGTATGTCGCAGTCCGACACCCAGAACACCTCCCAACCACGATGAGGCAGTAAACAGTTGGGAGGGATTTATGAATATTGGTTAAAAATATTTTAATCTGTTGAGTAATGGACATAGGTACACGTATTATTTGGCTTTGAAAAAGTAACATTGTCGATTTGTCTTAGAAAACTCCAAAATTTGTATTACCATGCTTACAGAGATGCTGGTATTGTTAGATTTCCAGCTTGGAGTAGTGTAGAATAAATTATCAACTTTTTCTCTTTCTGAAGCGGATAATCTTTGTCGAGGTTTAGGGTGCTTGTTGTCTGGCCATCAGTTCTCCTGCTGTTACTATCAAATCAATCGAATGTGCCATCATCGACTACGCCTTTATGCAAGGTTGGATAACAGCTCATCCTCCGGCCGAGAACACTGGAAAGCGTATTGCAATTATTGGATCTGGACCTGCTGGTAACCGAGAATATCTTTTCCGTAAAGACTTGGCATTCCTCTGTATTATCCTATTCAATCTTTGGGTACTTCGAGAAGGATCAGAAAAGTCAGCATGACAGTCGATGTCCACCAAGAACATTACACTTTTGTTTAAGGGACTATATTTCCGTTCTTAGTGAAGGAATGCTCAATAACTGCTCTCCTCGATCTGCTATGGGCTAAGTGTAATAACTTGGTTAATTGCACTCTTCCGGTGTTCGATTACAAAACTTCGGTTTCTCATATATTTCCTGGAAGATCTTCTGTAAAATCTGTAAAATCTTCCAAATCTCATAGGGTGCAATATGACAGAGTCGATTGCTTGACCGCTAGTATGATGTATGGTTTCCTTTTATTTCTTACTTTTACGAGGACATATGTTTAACCAATTTCTTTCTTTCGCTTTCATGTTTGGTTGTATATAGGTCTGAAGTCTCAACAATATGTCTGTTTTGGGCTTATGTTTTTCCTCGTTGTTCCTTGGCTTCTTTTCGGAGTCGTCTCTACATCTCTGTTTCAAGTCTTATAAGTATAGTTCTCAAACCGTTTCTATATCGAAGAGTATTGGTGTAGTACAATCTCGCTTTTTCTAAGACGAAGATCACCCATAGTATCCATAGTATTTGATATCTATGGAGTTTTGGATCATTCTGGCTCTTTTCATACTCTGTCTGATAGATGTTTCAACAATGGTATCTTTCAAGGAATGGCTGCGGCTGCACAGCTAGTTAAAGTCGGCCATACGGTAGTGGTGTATGAAAGAAAAAATCGAGTGGGTGGCTTATTGAGGTAGGTAATATGGAACGGGGCTCAGATATAGGATAGGTTCACTGTCTTGTGCTTTTTAAGGTATGGTATACCAACAATGAAGCTTGATAAGTATCTTGTTGATCGACGAGTGAAACTTCTTGAAGAGGAAGGCGTTCGTTTCCTCACAAATACTGAGATCGGGAAACATGTGCCAGCGGATTTTCTTCTCAAGGTTTGTAATCATACAGCTGTACTAATTACTAGACTGTATAGAATGTTTTCTTTTTCGTGAATAACATTGTACAGGATAACGACGCTATCATTGTGTGTACTGGATCAACCACACCGCGTGATCTCCCGGTAAATTCCTCAAGAGCAGCTCCTATTTATAATATTTGTTAGGTCACCTTACTCCAATGCCTTTTTACATCTACAGGTGAGTGGACGTGATGCCAAAGGGATTTGCTTTGCCATGGAATTTCTGGAAAAGACTCAGCGTCGTCGGTTTGGCGATAATGTTCCATGGGAGGGTCTGGATGCGGCTGGAAAGCGCGTCGTCATCCTGGGAGGCGGTGACACGGCCACGGATTGTATAGGCACCAGCTTACGTCTAGTGAGTCCCTCATAGTCCGCTTTATCTATTTGTTTCGTTTCTTCCTAATTTTCAATTTACATTCGCAGATATTATTCGTTTCCGAGCTAATTACTTGTGTATAAGAGACTTTATGCGTTCAATTTTCTTTGTTGTTGGCGAGATTGAGTATGTATAGTGTAGTAACTGAATAAATAGGGTGCAAAATCGGTCACAGCGTTCGAGATCCTCCCGAGACCACCAGGTTGTCGCAAACCAGAAAATCCGTGGCCAGAGTGGCCGCTGATTTTCCGAGTGGACTATGGCCACGAAGAAATGCAATTGAAAACTGGAAATGATCCAAGGACGTATTCGATTTCAACTAAGGCAGGGATTTCTTGAAACAAATCGGTCTAGATCCTTTTACCACTTTTTTTTCGTTTTAAGGCTTTTGTAACAGCGGAGAATGCCGCTGGTGTCAAGACGCTCGTTGGACTTGATGTTGTTGAAGTGGATTGGGAGAAAGGCGAAAAGGTTGCTTGTGTGGCATTGTTTCTTTGCGTCCGGTTTTTCTCCATTTTTAATCGTAGATTAGCTGTTTACACTGAACAAGGTTATTTACTGTACAATTTATCCAGTTTAATGAATGTGCGTTGATTAAGGGTGCTTGGAAATTAATTGAGAAGCCAGACACGAAGAGGACGATTGAATGTGATCTTTGCATTCTTGCAATGGGCTTCGTTGGACCCGAAAAGGTAACTAGTATTCGCTTTGAAACTTGTCAATATTAGTCGAATTTTCAGACCGTCATTGAACAACTCAGTCTTAAAATGGACTCGAGGTCGAATATTTTGACTCCCAAAGACAAATATAACTCCGACGTAGCAAAGGTAAGTTATTTTTTTGTTCTTGATAGATATCACTCGCTCAACCATGATTTGTATCCTAGGTATTTGCTGCTGGTGATTGTCGTCGTGGTCAGTCACTTATTGTGTGGGCAATTCATGAAGGAAGACAAGCTGCTCGACAGGTTTATTTTATCACTTGTAGAACTCAGTGGTTTTCACCAGTAATGTTTCACCGATATTCTGAATTTAGGTTGATGAATATCTTATGGGTAGGACTACATTGGCCGGTCCAGGTGGTATTGTAACGGCGAGAATGCCTTACATGGGACATCGATAGAGTTTTCATCTTAGACATGGTTGGATTTCCGAAAATGTTGATATAAAGTATTCCATTGGCCATTATTTATTTGCCAGTGCAAAATTAACAAATACTTATTTCCTTAAACAGATGCTGTGGTTTCCATGTCGAGTGGGGTTTCTTTGCAATATTGCAATTCTACATTTGCTAGTGTTTTAACCTTATTACTACTAACTCTAACCACTTCTATTTGAATGTATCACTTATTATGCTGTGTTTTGAGGCAGTTTTGATAACGATTTTTAGGTCAGTTGGGAACACGTTGTGCGGTATTTCTATAGATCTTCCCGTTTAATGTCTATTTGGTGAACTAGTCGACCATGCAGAGGTGATGCATAGAACTATTAAATTAGAAATTCGTGTATGAAATGAAGTCCTTTTCTTTATAATAAAAATTCTGTGTAGTATTTTGTAAGCCATGTGAAACGACCTAATTAAGAGACAATACCAACTCATGTTGATGACCAATCCTCTTAAAGTTCAAGCTGTAACAGTTGTTACATTCATATCTTTGCCACCTGTGATGGTGGTCAAATTCGTGCTTGAACTCGGTTACAGCTTGAAGCTGTATTCTGTCATTCACATGTTATGTGTCTACCAATCGTCGTTTTCGTTGGAATCTCCAGTTAGTAGTGTTATGGCATTCATAGATGTTTACTAGCTGTCCTAGCTGTCCACTGCGTCAGATACTCTTACTAGTCGCATAGCAAGACTTGTACTTGTTTTGTTTGTCAGCTTAGTAGGACGATAGCTGTTAGACGATTAGATTTGTGTTTTATACTCCATCAAATCTAGAACGACGTCAAAGTCTTTAAATTATTATTTATCGCAGTAATACTGATGTAAATAACGGATCTTGAGGTTTAGCTGGAGATCATGACAATGATGAATTTGTTGAAAAAGGACAATAATGAAAATGTAGGTAGCTATGCTGACACTCATACAGTTACTCGCTAGTTCAAAAGAAATGAAGTTCCAGACCTGCTATCAACAAACCGATCAACTGCTTAGAGTGCTAATCGCAAGAAAATCGTGCAATCGATCATCTTGGTGGTGTTGAACAACACTTAGAACATGAGTAAGGTGATTAATTAATAGCGATATGAATGTAGTAACATATCTAGTGATCAAGTTGAATAAAAGAACTAAGGATATGGGCAATCTATAGGGATTATTCAATTGCTTTCTTATATCTAGAAATGGCGTATAGAAAAGCGAGTGTTGTACATAGTCCCACGGAAATGGTCTACTTTTTTGCACGCTGCTAACTGAATATGACTTAAAACTGTTAGTTGTTATAATGAAGACAATCATGATGATGATAGAGTGTGTCACACGGCTTTACACATATGCTGAAAACTTATATAGTCATGAGATTATGAGTCTCTGAAGTAGAACCACTGAACGCTTGAGACCTTCAATAAAATCAACGGAACAGTGAAAGAGCGATGAAAAATATTAGAGTTATGGTCGCATGAGGCGAGGTTATCAGTGAAGAGATGAGTCGTGCATCCCTCCATTCATCCCAGGCCAAGCGATACTGATTAGGAGACGTTGGCTCCAGTCGATCGCATCTAATCTGGCATAAGGTGTCCAGTCGAAGACGCTCACACAAGCAGCGTGTAACAAGAGACTAAAGAAAATTATGTTGTCGTAATACTGTCGGGCTTAGGAGACACTGGCTATACTTGTCGAAACTTCAATTGAACTACAATGTTATGAAAGCATAGCAAAGTTTCATGGAGTAAAACACTCTGATGTTATGTGACAAGAGAGTAAAAGATTGAGTCTAAGACATATTGTAGCACATACAACAGCTCTTACTTAAAACAACTATTCACAGTGTTCGAACTGCATTACTTTTATATATATGATTGAAAAATTGATATTTCCTACATTCCATGGAGGAAGGGTCAAGTCAAACGTCACACCAATTATTTTCCATCGTTTGCTTACGATGGATAAGAACTTGGAAGAAAGTCACTTACATGATAGCAGTAAGCGTGATGAAGCGTGTACATTTCCGAGAGTGTTGAGCGAATCACTAGGCACTCGCGTTCTTTATCAGTTTCAGAATAAAGCATCAACTTTTTCGATGTATCCAATTTGATCCTTAATTAGTACTTTGTGAATGACGACAAAGATTTTTGAAGGAGAAAAACATTGGAAGATACGAATTTTATTTCGGAGATCTTTTGGTAACATCTGTTTGGCAGCACACCAGCTCTACACATAGGCTCAACTTTTCTGGGAACCGATTTCGATTTCCGAATCTCTTTAAATCACTGAGAAATCCAAAATCACTAATGATCCGATAATTTGGATATAATGTCTTTCCAGATAACCAACTCCAACAACTACTTAACGAGCACTTTTTTTTCTTCTAATTAAGGAAGAAATAACTACCGAAGTCTGTTACCATTAAAGCTTGCTATATTACCATTTGGCGACTTCTGAATTGTTGGTCACGTTTGTTCCAATTTTCACCGCGCTTTCGAGAAATATTCATAAGGTAGTGCGAAGGTGTGTGTGTGTGTGTGTGTGTGTGTGTGTGTGTGTGTGTGTGTGTGTGTGTCTGGCCGAAAAAGTAGAAGAGATATTCATGCACACTCACCGTAACAGTCGATGTCTGTCAAACTGTTGGTAGCCAGCTCGTGGTTTCATTCGTTCCTCACACTGTGCCATTATATTGTGCACATATTCACTAGAGCAGTTCTTACTTCTGCTCAATGCGCACTGTGTCTGGAGATATCCAAGTGTAGATAGCAACTGCAAGCGCGATGGCGACTTTTCGGATGGCGATCCAATTAATGGCGTTGTCTTAACAAAGTGCAATCGTATACAGAACTAGGAACTAATGTATATTGCAGGAAAGCTTCCATAACAGCAAGAAGAAACAGATTCTCTTCGCTTCTGGACAAAAAATTATAAAGATCAGAAATGAAAATGAGGAAGGCCTCGTACTGCTCACCCCTTCGCTTGAGATGTGTGATTTTCTGTAGTCGCATCGTGCTAAAGCTATTCGGTAACCCGCTGTACCAGCAAAACTGACAGTATTCGCGTCGCATTTACCAACGCGATGTTCAAAGCACTCGTCTAACCACTTAACAATTTTTGTTAGACATACTTAACAATCTTTTTATCGAAATAAATTTACTGGCAACAGTAAGAATTTGAAAATTTTCTTACGGTGTAATGAACACATTTGAAGACTAGATGCTGATTTGTGCACACTTCTCCCATCATTTCGAATAGCTCTGCAAAGCACGAGACACCTAACGTAGTGTTACAAACAGAATTCCTAAAATTTGTTTTGTTATTTTAACAGTGAAAATCGTTTTGTAAAAACTAGCACCAAACACTAACACATAGCTCCTTTCATTCACTAGAAATGGTGCATTTAATGCGAAAATAGTGGCCGTTTTAACTTTGAACTAACATATCTCTAGTCGTACTCAACTTGCAATAGGAACCACTGCAACATAAGCAACGGGAACAGGTAGTGTAGTTGTTAAAGGTCCCATGCAATACACACGTGGTCATTAGTCGATCTCGCGCATCCTGTTGATCGAGCCTTCCATCCCTCTGAAGTCAGCGAATTGGTATTAGACTTGTTTGACTGTATACATCGCTAAGCCACTTTTAGTCGTTATGCAGGCCAAATGTGCTTTCATTCACCTCTGACGGTCGAATAAGTGGCTCATCTCTAAGGCATTGTTCAAGACCAAAAACTTTCTTTATCCTTTTAGGTTTTCCCCATGATATAAGTTATCCTATTCTAGCAACTCTACCAAGATAAAACTTTGATATTCTGGCGCGTATGGTAGATATTCTCATCACCTTTTTGCGTTATGCATCGTAACTCAAGCACAAAAGTAACCAAACAATCGATATTTTATCTACCAGAACATGATAATGCTCCCCTATGCATCGCCGGTGTTTACAATCGCTGCTCTTGCATTGAAATATCAGGAATCGAAATTTAGCTTTCAGTTTCCCTCCGGTGTTGATCAATCCCTGCGAGATTCGCTATGCATTTCATTTAGCATCGTTAGAGGTTACTGAACATATCTGCCCTTACAGTTTTTCGCCGTAGATTACCGGTGTATCAACTGAGTTATTCTCTCAGATAAGTCAGATACCAATTGCCGGCTCAGAGGGATAGAAGGATTGATGAACTCGAGGCTGGGGATTGAAACAATGACCATGTGTGTATTGCAAGGTGTCTCTAAACATTACACTGCATGCCTCCCTATCTTACAGAAAAATAATCTGCAAATTCCAGTTCCAAAATAACTTATTTGTATATATGCGCCGTTTTCTTGTTCAGCAATCGCGAGGTTTTTAAACAGCATACATTTACTTCCATAGAGAAACGCAATACGATACAACACTAGCCGACGTTTCGGCAGTATCGCCTTCTTCAGAGCCTGGAAGGCTATGCTGATATGCAATCTACTAGGCCAAACGGTTCAATAACAATGAAGTAAGCGTAGCTATAAAACGATGCTTAAGAAGGGCAGGTCTAGAGGAATCGGTAGCGATAGTTGAAATACCACCGGCTACTCTACGTCGTCAGTTAGTTCGTAACCGCCTGTATGACCGTCTATGTGAAACAACAAATTGCGTAATTTGCCCTTATGGCAGGAACGGTGATTGCATGAGTTCAGGTACGATATACCTGATCTCTTGTAATAATTGCGAAAAAGGATATATTGGCGAAACGGACAGACCTTTGTGTATCCGTATAAAAGAACACCTAGATGGCAGACGAAAACTAAGACGAAGTACCCCACTAGGCACGCATAGGATACAAAAGCATAGCGGAGACGATTTTGAAGTAAAAGTCAATATCCTTGCACAGGAGACTAAAACACCAGCGCGAAAAGTTCTTGAGGCTTTTTGGATAAATGCCAAAAACCCTACAATGAATAGCAGGGAGGAATGCCCAGAGGTCATATGCGACTTGACCCCGCATGTTCGCATCAATTTCTGATGTGGGATGGTGCCATCAGTCATCAATCATATGCGACTATAATCAGCTGTTCTAATCCTCCTCGTTGGAAGTCACGTAAAAAGAAGCGATGGGTTTTGATCATGTAATTACCATAGAGTTTTTTCGTCTTTTTGTAAGTGTTATTGAAGCATTTGGCCTAGTAGATTGTATGTCAATATACCCTTCCAGGCTCTGAAGAAGGCGATACTGCCGAAACGTCAGCTAGCGCTGTATTGTAGTGTTTTTCTATCGAAGTAAATGTATGCTGTTTAAAAACCTCGCGATTGCTGAACAAGAAAACGAAGCATTCATATTCAAATGCCGAGGTTAATAGAAAGTCGATCCTGGGAACTATTACAAGATGTACCAGCAAAATACTTTCGACTTGTGAAGGAAGCATTGTCACTAAGGCAGAAGATTGTCTTAGCTAGACAGCAAATCAACTTTCCCATCCGTTTTTTTCAACATCGAGTCGTGCTGAAATTTATAAAGCGAAAGCGACTTCACGAGATATGCGGTCAACCAGAGTAAAGCCAACGAGTACGAAGCATCGAAATGGAACTACTTCGAGCTGCACTACGAAGCAAGCAGAACGAGATGTTTGTCAGAATGAGGAAGTGTGCAACGAAGGAACATTTTTGTGCTTTGTACTTGGAGGATCGCCATTGGAAGAGAACAGTTGGTGGGCCAATATTGTTATGCGATTTTATTAGATCTAATGCCAAAATAACCTTAAAACGAAAATTCGAAAATCTTTTGGGTAATTCACACGTCTCAGCTTCAAGAAACAACCGCAAACAAATTCCTTACGTTTCTGATAATAGTCAAAATGGGGTTGATAATGCACCAAGAAAATCTAGGGTCGCCGTGATTGGGGGCATAACAATACCTGAGAATGCGCGCTCGCTATTAGAATTGGGCCCAAGTTTTGTACCATCACAGCCCATTTCTAAAACTACCCTGCGTACGATAGCATGCAACCTTTATGCGCTCCGCTATCAGGCCAAACAAGAAGCATCAAATAGAGATAAAAATCAAGAGGCAGCAATACTACCACCATCTCTTTTCACCAAGACGTCTTTTAGACAGCAAGACCCTAAAGATGGAGTTGACATAAAATTCCGCATGTTTTCGGACGGCGTTCTCAAGACTCTTAATCACTACCGCGATAGATTTCTCGCCAGCTGGATGTTGAGATAACAGAGGAACATCTTCGTGATGCTACCCTCTATCGCCAATCCTCTGAAAAGGAATATAAAAGTCAACACTGAAAGCTAAACAATCAATGGGTCAGTGTGGAGAAGGCTGCGGGCTTACAATCATCGGTTATTTCGCACTTTAAAATCGATAAACCAACATGTTCCGGCCGATACCTACTTATTGAAACACAAAAGTTGGTATCACCTGATGATCATGCGTCAACTAATCCGTCATCATTTGAGGTTAGACCGATCATCTGCTGTTGACGGGCCAACGGATAGAATAACCTGGTTTTTAAGCCTGGTAGTTACCCAGTTGCTTAACCACATTCCAGCTCACCTCACAAACACCCAAATGTTCCTAGAACGTCTACGTAACGTGTCTCTTAATAGCGCGTACGTAATGGAGTCTTCCGATGTTACCGCGCTGTACACCAACGTGTCGAATGACTCCGCAATGCAAACCATCTTCGAACTTCTTGTTGAACATGAAGGAAGAATAAATATACATGGCTTGTCCATCCAACAGCAAATGGCTCTCTTAAAGGGGTGTCTAAACTGCTCGATTTTCAGATGGTCTGGGAAACATTTCGCGCAAATAAGGGGGTTGGCAATGGGACAGCGATTGGCACCAAGCCTTGCCGTTGTGTTTATGTCTAAGATAGAAGCCCCTGTTCTCGATCTCCGGCCACTACTCTACTGCAGATATGTAGATGATTGTTTTGTCGTCTTCTCTACGCAGGAGGAGATGGACAAATGTTTTGAATTATTGAACGACCAGCCTGAGTACATAAAGTTCACCCAGGAAAGACCGAGAAAAAACTGGCTTCCGTTTTTGAACGTTCAATTAAACCTATCAAGTAGCGGTTACTTGACAAAGTGGTACCAAAACCAAGTAACAAGAACATCCTCGTTCATTTCCTTTCTTCCCACTCTTCACACACAAAGAGGGCGATTGTGAGAAACATTTCGAACAGCCACCTCTGTGTGCACTACCAGGGAACTAAAGGAAGAATCGCTCCACTTGGCTCGGCAAATAACCATCTCCAGTGGCTACGAAATAGTAATCCCACGAGATAAGTTCAGAAGGAGAGCGTTGCGCCCACGCGAAGCACTTGGCCAAAAGAAAGTCCCGTTTATGTTGCCTTTTATAAGCGATGAAGTAAGCGTAGCTATAAAATGATACTTAAGAAGGGCAGGTGTAGAGGAATCGGTAGCGATAGTTGAAACACCACCGGCTGGTCGCATATAGTTGATGACTGCACCATCCCACATCCTAATCAGCTGTTCTAAACTTCCTCATTGGAAGTCGCGTAAAAAGCGGCTCTGAAGAAGACGATACTGCCGAAACGTCAGCTAGCGTTGTATTGTATTGTGTTTGTCTATGGAAGTAAATGTATGCTGTTTAAAAACCTCGCGATTGCTGAACAAGAAAACGACGCATTCATATTCCAATGCCGAGGTTAATAGAAAGTCGACCCTGGGAATTATTTGTATATAGTTTACTCAATTCTACTTCTGCGTTTGTGAACACCCCATTGTGAGATCTTATGACAGAAGTTGAGATATGATTGTGAGCGTGATAAGAGAGACACTCACGGTGGTACGTAGGAACGAACGATGAAAGCATCAGTGATGCGGTTCAAGTGGCTGAGTGTGGTGACCAAGGACAACAGGACACGCATCCAGCCAGCATTAGCGAACGCTGTTGGTTAACAAAACTGAAGGACTTCTAAAACGAGCCACATAGATCACTCACCATGTTATAGAAGACAGAAAAAATGAGGCCTTTGAAAATAATTCCTGCGCACTTTGGACGATAAATTATCGAAGTACATGTAGACGAAGTAATATGAAAATTAACATATGACGCAACAGTAATATTGCTTCCGAAATCTTGGAGAACGGCGTAGGCGTGACAAAACTAGTGAACCAAAAAGTAGTCGTTCTTTACGCTGAATTGATTTCTCAGATAACATATGAATGGTTAGAGCGTTACATAATCTGATTTGAAATTAGAGTAGAGGAACAGATCGGGAAGCCAAGTATCC